CAAAGTGCTATATTTCAACATTTTGGGAAAACTAGAAGAAATGTTTAGATTCCTGGACACATACAACCTACCTAAATTGGGTGATGAAGATAGAAAACCTAAATAGACCAATAACCAAGAAGGAAATTGAATCAGTAATAAAGACCCTCCCAAACAAAGAAAACCCAAGACCAGATGGCATTACTGCTAAATTCTATCAGACATTTAAAGATGAACTAATAAATTCTTCTGAAGCTGTTCAAAACAGTTAAAAGGGAGAGAATCTCCCCAGATTCCTTCTATGAAGACTGTATCACCTTAATTCCTAAACCAGAAAAAGATAAAGACAAAATAGCAAAAGAGAATTATAGACCAAGTATCCCTGATGAACATAGATGCAAAAATCCACAGCAAAATATTAGCTAATTGAATCCAACAACACATCAGAAAGATCATTTACCAAGACCAAGAGGGATTTATCCCTAGTATGCAAGGATGGTTCAACATTTGCAAGTCGTTTGCAAAACATTAACAAACTGAAGAACAAAATCAACATGGTAATCTCAACAGATGCAGAGAAAGCATTTGATAAAATGCAACACCCTTTCGTGATGAAAACCTTAAGCAAATTGGGTATAGAACACAGTCAAGTTAATTTATGACAAACCCGAAGCCAGCACCCCATTCAATGGAGAAAAACTGGAAGCATTCCCTTAAGATCTGGAACCAGACAAGGATGCCCACTCTAATCATTGCTATTTAATGTAGTCCTGGAAATTTTAGCCAGAGCCATTAGGCAAGACAAAGAAGTCAGGGTGATAGCAATTGGAAAGGAGGAAATCAAATTATCCCTATTTGCAGATGACACAATTCTACGTACAGGGGATCCAAAAGACTCCACTGAGAGACTACTGGGACTAATAAAAGAGTTTGATAAAGTGGCAGGATATAAAATCAACATGGAAAAATCAATAGCCTTCATATACACAGACAATGGAAGTTTGAGAAGTATCTTTTTAAGATCAGTCCCATTCACAATAGTTCCAAAAAGAATAAAATACCTTGGAATATATTTTTTAAATTTTTTATTTATTTATTTGATAGAGTTACAGAGAGAGGGTGAGAGACAGAGTAAGGTCTTCCATCAGCTGGTTCATGCCCCAATAGCAGCGTTGGCTGGAGTTGGGCCAGTCTGAAGCCAGGAGCCAGGAGGTTCTTCTGGGTCTCCCATGCAGGTGTAGGGGGCTAGAACGTGGGCCATCTTCTGCTATCCCAGGCCATAGCAGAGAGCTGGATCAAAGGAGGAGAAGCCAGGACATGAACTAGTATGCATATGTGGTGCTGGTACTTCATGCAGAGTCTTAGGCAACTATACCACAGATTCAGCCCCACCTTGGAATAAATTTAACCAGGAATATCAAAGATATTTAGTATGAAAATTACAAAACACTAAAGAAAGAAACAGAAGAAGACTTTAAAAATGTAAAATATCTTCCATGTTCATGGATTGGAAGAGTCAGTATCATCAAAATGTCCATACTACCAAAAGCAATTTACAGATAAACTGTGCTCCCAGCAAAAATACCAATGACATTTGTACAGACTAGAAAAAATAATGCTAATATTCATATGGAAATACAAGATACCCTGAATAACTAAAACAATCTCATATGACAAAAAATAAAGCCAGAGGCTTCACAATACCTGATTTCAATACATATTACAGGGCAATGGTAATCAAAACAGACTGGTACTGGCACAAAAAAAGACTTGCAGACCAATGGAACAGAACAGAAACTCCAGAAATCAATCCAGGTGTCTACAACCAACTTATATTTGACAAAGGAACTAAAATCAATCCTTGGGTCATGGACAGTCTCTTTAACAAATGATGCCAGGAAAACTGGATCTCCACTTGCTGAAGTGTGAAACTAGACCCATATTTTACACCTTAAACAAAAATCTACTCAAAATTCATTAAAAACTTAAATCTATGACCCAATACCATCAAGTTATTAAAGAAGATTGGGGAATCTATGCAGGACATTGGCAGGCAAAGAGTTCTTGTGAAACACCCCAGAGACACAGGCAATCAAAGCCAAAATTGGCTAATGGGATTACATCAAATTCAGAAGTTTCTGCACTGCAACAGAACACTCAGCGAAGTGAAGAGGCAACCAACAGAATGGGAGAAATTATTTGCAAATTATGCAACTGATAAAGGCTTAACATCCAGATTCTATAAAGAGGTCAAGAAACTTAACAACAACAAAACAAACAATACAGTTATAAAAATGGACAGAGGACTTGAACAGGCATTTTTCAAGAGAGGAAATCCAAACGGCCAACAGACTCATGAAAAAATGCTCAGGATTGCTAGCCATCAGGAAAATGCAAATCAAAACCAAGGTGAGTTTTCACCTCACTCCGATTAGAATGGCTCTCATATATAAATCAGCAAATGACAGGTGTTGGCGAGGACATGGGAGAAAAGGTCCCTGGTGTACTGCTGGTGGGAATGTAAACTGTTGCAGCCATGTGGAAGACAGTATAGAAATACCTCAGGAATCTGAATATAAACCTACCATATGATCCATCCACCCCACTCCTGGGAATTTACCCAAACCAAAAGATATCATTATATGAAAGACTTTTCTTTACCCCCATGGTCACTGAAGCATAATTCACATTAGCTAAGACATGGAATCAACCCAGATGTATATCATCTGTTGACTGGATAAAGAAATTATGGAATACTACTCAGCTGTAAAAAAGAAATGAAATTTTGTCTTTTGTGACAAGATGTGTGCAACTGGAACCTATTATACTTAGTGAAATAAACAGTCCTAAAAAGATGGATATATATCATATGTTTTCCCTGATCTGGGGCAACTAATAGAGTACCTGAAATGTAATGTATTGGAGTGAAATGGACATTTTGAGATTCAATGATTGGTTACAGCCCTTGTCTCTTCTGTAAAGGAACAATGTTTTTTATTTTTTCCTCTTCATACTATTTATTGAAATATTTTACTTTGTGTAGGATTAACTATATAATCATTAAGTAAACTGTAACAAAATCTTTGTAAAAATTAAGAGTGGGAATGTGACAGGGAGAAGGAGGAAGGGTTAGAGTCTGGACAGGAGGGAGGGTAGGAGGGGAAGTGCAACTATGTTCCTAAATCTGTATATATGAAATACATGAAACTTGCATAACTCAGTTTTTTAAAAAGAGAGAAAGAAAACACTACATTTCTTCTGTCACAATAGATTTTTGTTTCTCCAATCAAGAGATGTAAATCTATGAACATTCACTTTAATACTTCCATATCAAAAAGTTTAAATTGTTTTGTCACAAAAGTTTATTTATATGTTCAGTGCTTCTTTGCTGAGCCTTGATGTGGATAAGATCTGTGCAGGGCTGTCCAAGGCTCTCTCGAAGAGCCTATAGGCTAGAAGAGAATGGAATCCCTACAACACACAAGAACAAGAGATGTTCCTTCGTTAAAGGAGGTTCATTATTTAAGATGTTATGTTTTGATACAAGTGACACAATTCCAGTTGAGTAAGTACATAAAAAAGGGAAGGTTTATTATTTGTGTAAATGGTGTAGGTTAATATCAGTGCTTACTTTCTCTTGATTTTGTCTCCACCTTACCTGTAATGTAGCCTATGTTTTTTTAACTTTGCTTTATTCTGAAGTTGAAACTGTAGCCAGCTCTAAATTGAGTTTGCTCCAGATACTTGACAAAGGAGAAAAGATCCCCAATTCCCACCTCAAAACCCCACATTCATTCTGTGTCACTGGGGAAAATCCCAGGGAAGGACTTTGGCTGGCTTGAGTCACATACCTACCTATCAGTGACAGCTTTTATTGTCGGGATGCAGGTCGGGAGATACCACATAGTGGAAGAAGAGGAGGAGAGTTCTCCAAATAATTCTGAATGCACAGTTACAAGAAGAAGTGAGAATGACAGTGAGAAGAAGGGGATGAAGGGGAGATACTAGTTACAATAAATACTCCGTGAGGTATAGATGGAGTTGCATGAGCATTGAGCAGTGAGAGAGTGTTTATTTCTTAGAAGAGGAATTCAGTGAAATGGGACAGGGTCTTACAACGCTGAATGCATATGAACTTTCAGTGACGAAGAAGAACCTTGCAGAAGGAGAGAGCAGCAGCTTGAGAGGAGAAGACACAGTGTCTCTGGAGAACAGCAGGCAAGCAGAGAGAACAGGCAGGCTGCAGAAACAGGAGTGCAGAAGTGGACTTCTGCCAGCTTCTGTGAGGACTTGGAATTTGAAATGCATTTTTTAGTTTCCACAAAGCAGACAAGTAGCATCTAAACTGTCTTTAAAGAAACTAGTCTTGGGGCTGGTTCAGGCATCCCATGGGGACATGAATTCAAGTCCCAGCTGCTCCATGTACAATCCTGCTCCCTCCTAATGCACCTAGGATGGAAATAGAGCTTGGCCCAAGTGCGTGGGCCCCTGCACACACATGAAAGACCCAGAAGAAGCTCCTGGCGCCTGGCTGTGGATTGACCCCTCTGGCCATTGAAGCCGTTTGGGGAGTGAGCCAGTGGATAAAAAACACATACTCTCTCTCTCCCCTCTTTCCCCACACTTGGTAGCTTTGCCTTTCAAATAAAATAAACAAATTTTTAAAATAAAACAATATTTTTAAAAAAGAAATTAGTCTTGCACCCTCTTGTGAGTTGAGCTGTTTGACAAAGCAAGGCATAGCATGGAGTTATTCTAGTTGTCCATGTGAAGTCTTGAGAACCCGGTTGTAGTAGAAGTAAAATCAGGACACAAAAGAGCCTTGTGAGGACATTACCAAATATCAAATGCTGTCCACAGTTATTTCTCAGTGATATTTTCATGTTTTTCATCTTTCCTTGCTCTTGAAAACTGCTTGATTACAAAATGCAAATCGGGTGATAGGTTACATGGATCCACTTGGCACTTAATTCCTATCAGTACACAGATAAGTAGTCTAACTGTGTGGGTTTCTTTTTAAGGAAAGAAAGCTTTCAAAAGGAGGAAAATCTACTGCCAAATAACTCAGCACCTCCTGCAGAACCACAAGATGTGGAAGAAAGTCATCGAGGATGAGCAGCGGTTGACAGGCATAGAAAATCAGTCCGTAGAGCAGACCCCTCCACAGCAGTCCTCAGAAAAGATCCAGGCCATCGAGGAAGAAGAGGAGGAGAAAGGGAAGCCGAGAGCTGAGGAGATCCCAACCCCACAATCCAACCAGTGACAATGGATAGATGAGCTGTGTTTCCAAACACACTGACTTGCCGCAGACTCTCTTCAAGCCAGCACAACTCTTAGACACAACACTGTAGAGGAATGAGAAGATGGGCAAACGCCTGTTCCATTTGGGGACTCTTCACATTTTCTGTGTTATTTTTACGGTGAGGTACATTGTTTAAAACTCTTGCTCAAAGAAGCTTTCACATTGCAACACCAGCTTCTAAGGATATTTTTTAAGAAGGAAATATATCCACGTGTCTGTGTGTACATAAGCTCCCACGTAGATACACACAAATTCATATGTGTGCACACATACACACACCCAGCACACACACACCACACTGAAAGCCAGGATTACTGGCTCCACACGTAGTAACGTTCATATTTATATAGTGGTCACTGTGATATAATAGTTCATAAAAGAAAACCAGTCATGAAGGAAATGGTGCAACTTAGCAAGGGAACAGGACAGCCAGTGTTGGTTACCCACTAAGCATCTTCAGCTCTTAGCACTGAGGGCTGAAAGTTCTAGAGCATTATTTGAGTTGGGGTACATCCTGCCAACAGAGTGTGTGTGTGCGTGTGTGTGCATGCACATGTGCACAGATGTAGGAGATATTGTTAGTGTTTGAGTAGTTCATAGAGTAGCTGCAGCAGTCGACTCAGTACCACATGAACAAATAGAAGGGTGTTCCCTCTGAGAGGTCTTTCGGAGACATCCATCCAAATGCCCTCCTTGAGTTTCAGTAAAGGTCCCGTTGCTGATGGAGTGTGTTTGCAGGCCTTGCAATTGGTACTACTGCTGTCTACCACTTGCAGGCACTCTGTCACCAGCCTCATATCGGAACATTTGAGGCACTGTCCAGTGGACCTCAGAGAAATGCTCCTATGAAGGGAATGGGTATTCTATATTCATAGACACCTAAGGAGGACCTGGAGTCAGGTCTTTTAACACAATTAAAATTCTACGAAGGATGCTAGAGAAAGCCTGGGAAATGACACTTCATAGAGATCTCTTGTATCATCTTCATTTGCTGCAAAAGGCATGGTAGACGAAGAAAACAGGTAACGGGAAACCCACTTTGGGTTATGTAGAGAGATGAAGGAGAAAGTTTCAATCAAGGGTTTCTATGGTGATGGAAAGAAAGCCCGGTCATGGATACCTGATGGAGATTGGCTTTGGGTATGGAGATCCCAGTGATGACCCCTGTTTTAGTCCCTGTGCTGTGTGATGAAGTGGTCTCTGTCTGCAGACTGGCCCATTTTCATACGTTTGACAGGGAAGGTTAGAAAGGGATTGTGTAGGGATAGGGCTGTTGATGAAAGCCTTTTTTTTTTTTTTTTGGTTTGTTTGTTATCTACACTTGTTTATGCTGTGAGCCAAACCTCTATTTAAAAAGTTGATATTCACTTTCAATATTTTATTTCATATTATTATATATGTCTTGAATAGTACCTTGATGTAAATATAAAGATTTTTTTTCTGTAGATAGCAATTCTTTTTTTTTAAAGGCGGGAGGGAAACATTTTTATAAAGTTATATTTTAATCACCATTTTTATACTTTGTAGCTGTCTCCAAGCCCATTAAGAAAGCAATGATTCATTTGCATGGAGGTCTATGGACAGCCACTCATCTACCTATTCCAATGTAATGGATAATTTGATAGCTTTTTTGCCAATGTAATGAGAATGCTGCAAAGAATATTGTTTTTGTACCCACTAATATCTTCTGCTAACTCAATGAATTCTGGGTCCATGAGTCCAAGGTGAAAGACTTTTTTAACCAACACCAAATTTTTATGGTTGGTGTCTATTTCTTTTCAACATTTTTTTTCCTTGTTCTAACTCTTCCTGTGATCCTATATACTCATCATCCAAACAAGGAAATCTTGGTTGAGATTTGTGCTTTCACTTCCTCTGAAGTCATAGAAAGGAGAGCTTACCTTAAAAGTACCTTTGTTAACTCGTGAATGGATATTGTATTCTTCTTGTTGGAAGTGTGATTTTTATAGTAATCCATGAAAGTTGCCAAATAAGGTGAAGACGATGCATTAAAAAATAAACATGGTTTCAAGACAGATTTTTCAGTAAGTGGGAAAATATAGTGGATCAAATAAATGCAGACTCTACCTAAATAATTAGAATTTTTTTCAGTGTATTTCTGAGTTAACACCAGGTCTTCATTATTGAGGATTTACTTTGTTGTTTCTGTTTTCTTGGTACTGTCTATGTGTCTGCATGTTTGCAAAAATTGCTGTGAGTCAAATACATTTCTCCAGTGAATTTAACTGTTCTCTTTCCTTTGTGAAGAAGAGAGGAAAAAAAAAAAACCATTTGTACTCACATACCTCTTGCATCTAATTACTTAACAAAACTGATCTTGCCCTATGCATCTCTAAACAGAAATTGAGGGACAAGCTAGGTGTGATGGGAGTAGAATTGGCAGGACCAATGTGAAATCATAACCACATATTGGCTGTATTGTTAAAGCTGCATGGCCCATGTAGGGAGCAGCCTGGTGTCACAGTGGAAGTCCCAGAAAACTGCCTGATTTTGTTTCTTTTGTTTTAAAGAACATGAAATAGTAGGCCAAAGCCATTGGAACCTCTTTATCCCAGAACTGTGTTTATTAAACCAAGCTGATTGTAATTTCTTCTTCAAAAGTAGATTACTATTATATTAAAGCTAGAAGTTATTTGACAATTTGAGAGAGATGGAGATCCACTGAGTGTATGACTTTGATACACACCCAGTATATCTCAAGGGATGCCTAGGGGCATAAGAAGTATTTAATACTAGTGATGTTTCCCCATCTTCTTTGGTGACAGCAATATTACTGTGTTCACTTCCAACTCCAAAGCTTATTTCCTGTGGTGCCAATGTGTTTGTTGGAATTTACTACATTTTTATATGAGCCTACTTACAGGTGCCATTAGATAAACTCAGGTCTTTTAAATGAAGGAGTTTCTAGCCCACTTATGGAAGAGTATACTTGTATAGAAAATCATAAAATTAATGGTAAGAAAGGTTGGAACTGGTTAGCTGGAAGCTATGGTCCTCTCTGTTAAGTGAAAGACCAGCTATGTTCTGAGTGTCATTGGTATCATTTTCAGCATACTTATAGAATGTCTTTTCTGTGATCTCTCTACTCTCATGTTTAGAATGTTTCTTCCTTGATGAAAACACTACTTTTGCTTTTTTTTCTGAACTATAAAATTATTTTTTGTCATTTATATAAGACCTGGTTTTGCTCTTAGCAAAAGAAGGAGGCAGTAGCACGGTCCAGATACATCTATGTTGGTCTTCATCTGACAAGTGAAGGTATTCTTCATAGTATGTTTAAGAGTATCCACAAAACAGAATGCCAACTTCTGTCTGTTGAATTCCAGAACAAATCCTACCTATTGCAATTCTGGTAACATTAAGGAGAAGAAATTAAATGTCCTGAAGACTGTTCATATTAGATGTATGTAGGCTGTTGATTTGCCATTTCCTTATGCCCCCTTCCTGTCTTTCCCAGAGAACTTTCTTTGATGGTAAAAGCTGTGCAAAAGACATGAGACTCAGGCCTATTCTTTGTTTAAATGATGGAAAAATATAAATTATTTTCTAAGTAATAAAAATATGAAAATTATCATCATAAATAAAGTCTAAAGTTTGAAATGACTGCTTTATGAAAGTGAAATATTTGTGTGAATAATTCCCAACTGATGAGAAGCAAATAATCCAAAATCATTTATATTCTACTTTGGAAATATTCTTGGTGCTTCCATATCAGTGTAGGGAACCTCTCCCCATCCTCAACAAAATGTGTACCATATTAATGAAAACTGCAGTAAGTGTTTTATTGTCCTCCTCTTCCATCCTAACCCGGATTCACATTTAATGCCTTTCCACACTGATACACCATTTGCAAATGAACTGCCTTTCCAAACTGGAGGAAGACTCCCGTAAAATAGAGTTCTGTGAACTTTCATAATCTAGAGTAAATCAATATCCTCCTTATCCTAAAAACTGTCAGTAGTATTTGTGGAAAATTCCAGTAGGTTTTCACATTTTACTAGCTCAACTTCAAATAGTTGAGAGCTTTAATGTCTATGTACTTTGAAACCAAACTGAATTTTTTTCATTCATCTCTCTTAGCAAGCAAGAAAACATTTTATGATCACTGTCTGAGTCATTTATTCATCTTGTGACATCCCTGTGCAATAAAGTATGAATTTGCTGATACTGTCCATTTTTAAAGTCTGTTTATGCAAATTCAACTTGAAGATTAAGCAGCCAATTATCCACTTTAAGTAAAGAACATTCCAAAATTAAATTATTCTGAGAAGTCCTAATCAATAAGAAATATGCTAGTTTCAGATCTTATATCCTATTTTTTGTTCCTCTAGAAAATATTCAGATTCTTATTGGAATTTTAGTTGGGGAAGAGGTAAACTATATACATCAAGTTTACTATAACTAAACTATAATTTAGATAAATTGAGATATGTATAAATCTTTGTATGTATCAAACCAATGAATGGTTGTCAGAGACTGAGAACTTATTTTTTTCTGTCTATATTATTAACTACAGATGTTAGGCAATTTGTGCTATTGCCCAACACACTGCATTGATTAAAACAATGTTGTTTTTATCTTCTTGCCTAATGGTGCTTTTTACCCTACCTGAATTGATCTTTTTGTTCACCCAGCTTATTATTCTGACAGCAGGTTAACAATGATGACAAAAATAATTGAGTGTATTTTTTTTTTGCTTACTATATTTAAAGACATAAAACTGAGAATTAAGCCTTTATGTCCTTGGTGGAACTCAGTGTCCATCTGCTGATTCAAAGTACTGATCCACTGAAAGTTATTTTCATGTAGATCTCAATCTACTATAAGTTATTTTCACACAAGTGAGGCTGTAGACTATATGGAATTTTGAATATAGGTAAAAAATAATAATGGCTCTTGGTATTTGCTTAAGGCTCTAAAAACAATATGGATTTCCTGTCTAAATGCAGCTGTTTCTTCTCCATGTCATGTTTTTAAGGTTGATTACTTTCATAGGCTTTGGGATCCTTGGAATTCTGTTTCTCAGAAGAGTTGGGATGCACAGAAGAAAAGCCACACCTCCTTATAGGTCAGAAATGTTGAATGTGACCATGTTGAGACGGGTTTCCCAGTTGTTTCAGACCAAAAAATCTTTAATCATGTGAATAAATCTATCAAGATGCTTTAAAAAGTAGTTTTAAATCATTATCTATTAGTAATATTGATGCTATTTAAATTAGATTTATTTTCCTGAACTAACACTATTTTAAAAATTTTTCCATTATTCAGTTAAATTGAAGCTCATAAAATAACGTTCCTTCATGCTGGGGTGCTGAATATTTTGACATGATCAGAAACAGTGTCACATAACAGAAAATGGAATTTATTTTCCTGAGATCCTTATGTCTCGTGGGGAAAAGATGTTTTTGGAATAAATGCATATGATCAAAAAATAAATTTATTCTCCAAAATTGACCTTAGATATTCAGATTTTAACCTGAGCTCTTCTGAGTGATTTCTAAACAAAATAATATACTATCTTGTAATTTATTATAGTTTCGGTCAAAAAACAAATAATCTGTTAATGTGAATTTTATTTTGCTAAATTCAAACACAATTAAAAATCCAAATACTCACCGCTAAGGAAAATTTAACTGTATTAATCTTGACTTTCACAGACCAAAGACTGACCAGTCAATAAACCACACCCACTGCAGTTCACCTGCCAGGCATGGTCAAATGGTAGGTGATCATTTGAAATTGATTCTTATAAATGTAGTAAAAAAGAGCTTTTTTGCTTTAACTAAATTTTCAATATCATTGAAAGTACCTACTTCATATGTAACCAAAACTATAGCAGGGAACTCTTTCTTTCCTCTTTCAGAAAGCCCAGAAAAAGAAAAAGTCAGACTCACAGCAGCAAAGTATGGCTCCTCTTCCCTTTGAATTGTCTAACTCAGTGTTAGGAAAGGGAAAGTAATCAACAATTCTCTCCTGTGAAGGAGAAAAAAATGCCTTGCCCTCCAATTTGTAGTTCACCATATTTAGTTTCTTTGTGAAGCCCGTGGTACTAAGAAGCAGAAAGAATAGAGCTGAGGTTTGGGAGTGAACACACAAGAAAACTCAAGGGACATCCAAAGACACCCCTCCATCTTTGGTGTAAGCCAATTGAGTTATTAGCTACTCAGGAGTAAAAATGGTCGGATTGGTCCATATTTCAACGCTGACTTCCTTTATTACCATGAACACTTATATATGTTTCTGAATGTGAATTAGCCCTTAGAGCTTGGAAAATGATGCTTGAATATTTGTTGAAGAAAGGATTTTTTTTGTTCTAGTAATTTCACTCCTGACATAATAGCAAAGTACTCAGATGTTTAATGTGAAATTAAAACTAATTGTTTAAAGATGTTCTCTTTGTGTATTCAGCTTGTTGACTGATAGAACTCCCCCAGTCACATCTCTTTTAAAAATTTGCAACTTATTACTTTTATGACTCCAAAAATCCACTTATCAGATATTTCATTTTAGCTATTTATAAGCATAATACTATAGTGTTACTATCTAAATAATAACCTAACATATCTATATATTACCTGTTAGTGGGGTTTTAATGGCTTGACTTTTAATATGCATTTGTTCATTAGTTTAAAAATCACTAATTTTTTTACACTCTGTAAAATATTTGCATGGGATTTTCAGCATATTTGTGTAACTGGTGTACTTTTTTCCTGAGTGTCAGTTTGTGTTATAATATAGTCTCACAGAAAAACTCATACCATTCTTGTTTCCATAAGGACAATTTGTTAGGTGACAAGCACTGGAAATAAATATCACTGATTCCACACATACTGATATTTCTTCCTAGAAAATTTTTGTCATGGAAATCACAAAATGAAAATTGGTGCTTTTATATATTCTGGAGCTCTCAATGCAAAATAATTAAATGAAATTCTCCTTGGCTTTCTGTAAAGATAACACCTGCAGCTGAGTGAACTTTAATCTGGATTCAGAATGTTTTTGACTTTCATTGGTTTGGTTAATTTGGTTCGGGTTCTGGTGTGAAAAATCTGTTCTAATTACTTATCGAGCAATTGTGTTGATCAATTAATTCCTTTTCCTGACAAGTTCTAATTATCATGTCCCAAATCTTTGAGTTTTTAGGATATTTGTAAACCACAGAGTATTGGATTATTTTGCTATTCCTAAAAAGCAATATATTCAAATAACTGCCAACCAAAGTGATACTGTTGGGGATTCCATTTGTATATGATGATTATTTATAATATAATTCTCACCACAGTCAACAAACCTGAATATGTTTATTACTAACTTTGCCAAATTTTCAACTTTTAGAAACACAAGAGTAAGTCATTGGACCTTAAATGATCATTTTGAAATCACAGAATTTTTGCCCTTCCACTTGTATCTTGCACTTAATATATGTAGCAATATTTACTGTCATCCCATCACAAATATTTAAGTGACTTAGTTAATGGCTGATGTTTTGTATAAAGTAGAATCTGTACAGAAAAATATATTAGATAAATTGTATTTATTTTTTATTATTTTTTAGCTTAGACACTATATTGATGCTCTCTTTTTGCCAGAATTACTGGAAGTGCCTCTTGGTTTTATATATATATAAATATATTAATATACCATAAATATATACTCAAAATTATTAAAGCTGTGTCATAGATGATCAATGTGGATGTTACAATGTGAAGATAATGTATAATATAAAAACAATTCTGTGGTATCATGTTTGATGTAGTTATTTGTACAACCCAAGTCTTCCAGTCTTCTGAAGGCATCTTTTCTCTCTCATATCCATCTTCAGTGACTTGGTAGTCAACACCTCAGTAATGAGATCCACTGGCCAATTTCCAAGGAACCCCTAGGAGCTTGTAATCCCACAGTAACAACTCTCTCCCCAATCAGTGGTGAATTCTTAAGATCATCATCATCTTCTACCACCAACCTGTATTGTTTCTCTAATCAAAGAGCATCAAAACCAAGGTGCCAAAACTTGGGCATTCACCTTCAGAGTTCTGTAACATACACAGTGCTGCCTTTTGTTTTATGAATCCAGTGCACATCATCCTCTACAGATTGCCAGTGGATGCCCAACACATGCAATATTTCATTGCACACACATGGAATTATTTTTGTTCTGCATGTTTGAAAAGCTTTAGAATTGTTTGAATGATTCAAAAACATTTTTTTTGAGATTCTTTGGGATTTTATTGTGTTGAAGCCACTCTTTTTTTTTCCATTTTATGATATAATGTGACAAGCAATTTAACCTAAATCCCTAGAATCTTCTGGAACAATTATATTAGCTATTAAGCAGTTAATTCATAACAATACAAAAGCAACAAAATCATAACTTTAGAGACAGGCATTTGATGTAGTGGTTGGGATGCTGACTGGGACACCTTCATCCTATGTTGAAATACTGGGACCGCTGCCCAGTCCAACTCCTGACTACCAGATTCTTGCTGGTGCACACCCTAGAGGCAGCAGTGACAGCCCAAGTGTTTGAATCCCTTCCATAGAGCTGGATTGGTGATTCATGATTCTGGATTCTCTTCCCTCCCCAAAGGTTGCTATGCGTATTTGGGGAGTGAAACAGCAGATGGTACTTCTCGTCTATCTCTGTCTCTTAAGTCAATCATAAAAATAAAACAGTAATACTTCCATCAGTGCATGGGCCTTCAGAGAGCCTAACAAGAATGTGATGGAAACTGATAAAACTGAATCTAAACTCTCTTAAAACTTTTTTAATGAACTCAAATGCAGTACTCGGAAACAAAAGCAAAATGTGAGTGTTGCCCAAAATTCCCAAGGAACTCTTTAATCTACAAGTATTGATTTCCCCATTACCTGTGAGATGAAATTTCAACTCCTAAACCTCATATTTTGAAAATGATTTTTCTTTTGTCATTTTTTGAAAGGCAAACAGAAGTAGATGTCCTACATGAGTATCAGGGACCCAACTACTTAAGCTGTCACCTGCTGCCATCCCATCACTTGTGCATTAGAGGAAGCTGGAATCAGGAGCAGAACCAGGTCTCAAACCTAGGTACTCTGATATGGGATGCAAGTATCCCAAATAGCGTCTTGATCACCGTGCCAAATGCCCGGCCCAGTCTCATATCTTTAAAGGTCCATTCAATCTGGCTCAGACTATCCATTTCTACAAGGAACCATCACTTAGTATTTGTTTCTTTTTCTTAGATGAACAGGTCATCACTTAGATTCTTTGTTTCTCTGGGTATATGTACACTCTCTATTTCTTAGTATGCATGTGTATACACACATGAACATACACATTCTTCCTCACACACATAGCACAGCAGGACAAGTTTGACTGTGTCTGCTTGAGTTTCAGATTTCACCCCTCTCCCAGGGCTTCCCTTGTACCATGATGCTGTGGTCCTCAGAGCAAAGGAGACAAAGTGGAGCAGCCTAGTCTGAACTGATTTGGTGTAAGGAAGAGATAAATGATGTGGTATTAAGAGTGATGATGGGTAAGTTCTAACAGAGCCTGAGATTCATGCTGGAGGAAGGGTGACTACAGCTGCTACCTGAATTAGGAAACCTCAGAGATCAGGTGAGTGTGGTATCGATCACACTAATCCACACTTCAGCCCTTTGAACCACATGGGTGGAGCTTGTGATATGATCGCAAAACCCTGTTTAATGCAATAAAAAAAGAAGAGTTCTTTGAAAATCTCCTTACTAGGGTAGATTAAACAACAGTCATGGGGTACTTGGTGTCCTGAACATTCTTTCTGATGCCATCCCTGGCATCGGGAAGAATCCCCAGACCCACCTGTACAGAGGTCTGTCAGTGTAATGTATTAGTGAGTTGCCAGTGTGCCTTGTGTCCTCTGTGCTCTGGGACCACACAGAACAGGGGAGGGAGCTGGGGAGTGTTGGCTTCCTACTTTGCAGTAAGCACTCAGAGGGGTAGAATAGCAGCTTGTCCTACAAACTAACTTAAAATGTTTGTGCAAAATGGAATTAGCCAACAAGTTGGTTTTGGTACAAAGAATTATGAATTCACAGCATATGAGGGGTCTTCAAAAAATTCATGGGAAATGTGTGTTATGGAACAATTATGCATGATGTTTCAAAACTGTTTGTGACTTTTTGAAATACCCTAATAGTGTCTGGCTTCTCCCTGACAGATGCGAGAGGTGAACACACAGAAGGCTGTTCTCTCATCTACAGGACTTTGACACTGATACGAATGGTATATGAGCTTTCCCTTTCTGCCAGAATACATTACCACACGCATGATGACTTGAACATAATGTGAATGCATTAGCTCTGTAGGTGAGAAGACCAGATGGGCTTGTCTGGGCTCTCTGCTTTGGGACTTTCACAGGACTGAATTCTAAGTGTTGGCCAGTCTGAACTCCAAAGACTTCAGGGTAGAATCTGCTTTCAGGATCATTCAGATTTTTACCAGGAATGCAGTTCAATGAAGTTATAGGACTGAGATTCCCTTTGTCTTGCTGGTTATCACCTAGAATCTCTCCCAAATCCTTCTGTAACTGTCTTTTTTCTAATTGTTAAAAATTTTTATTTATTTGAAAGGCAGATTTTCAGCAAGACAGTGACTGAAAAGGGAGAGAGAGAGAGAGACAGACAGACCTTCCATCCACTGGTTCATTCCCCAAATGCCCACAACAGCCATTGCTGGGCCAGGCCAAAGCCAGTAGCCAGAAACTCCACCTGGGTCTCTTATGTGGGTGGCACAGAGCCAAGTACTTGAGCCATCATCTCCTGCCCCCCAGAGTGCATATTAGCAGGAAGCTGACATCAGAAGCAGAGCAGGGACTCAAACCTAGGTGCTAGTGTAGGAGATGTAGGAATCCCAAGCTGCATCTGACTACCTTATTCTTGTCCCCCTCTCAGCCTTGTTAGGCCACCTGCGTTTTCCCCAGCTTTGCTCCTCACCTCCGAGTTTTCAAAGCATCAATGGCTCATGGGTTCTTTTCATGCTTTGAGGCTTTCCACCTTCCTCTTTGGAAGCATCTCTTGTCTCCAGTTGAAGAGAGTTCTCTGTTATTAAGGGCTCATGTGATTGTGGGCCTGTATCCTTAGTCACATATGAAAAGTCTCTTATGAGACTTATGACTCTTATGTAATTTATTTATAGTCCCTGGGATTAGGGTGTAGAAATCTTTGACAGATCTAATTACATCTTCCACAAATAAAGAAAAGCATGAAGAAAACAATGAAGGTAATGAAGGTGCATGGACCACACACGTAAGCCACAAAGTAGAAGCTCCTTCCCATGATGAAATTGATGGTCCAAATGCAGAAGCCAATAATGGCAATGGGGAAATCAGCAAAGATCCCATCTTAAGAATGTTGGGTTACAGAGAACTGGGCTTGAGTCCCAGCTAAAATCCTGTGAGGCTGGAGTACAGTTTGATGGAGTGCATTGCAAGCTCTTAGCCATATACCCACTTATATTGCTGTTTGGATAGCCAGAATCAGGATACTTTAGGGTGGAACTAGATATTGTCCTATTTGGAATTATAGCTAGTAACCTATTTAAGTTGCTTCATATCTCAAACTTTTGATTCTGCTTATTTAGAAAAATAGTTTCTAAGACAATAATACTTTCACAGGATGCACAATGGTTCCATTACCCTGGAATCACAATCATGTGGTCCTTTTGTTCTGTGTTACTACACCATCAGGAGAGGGTAGTTTCTGATACAAAATCTTGGCAAGAAATATTGTGTTTGGAACACAGAGAATTCTCTGAAGAAACTTTTAGTACCTTGATGTTTAATGGAAATTTTAGTGGGAAATTGGTGTCCTGTAAAAGCAGGACTGCTAAGGAACTTGACCTCATAGGAATGAAGGTTGAGGTCATCTCATCAGTAAAAAACCTCAACCAATTCAACTGCCGACTATGAGCAAAGAAAACATGGTATGGATAGTGGAAAATTAAAGTAATATTAATCAAAGGTAGCTTTGTGGCAAGTTATACAAATGAATTTATAATTTATATACTAACCCTTTTTATACATAATTTTAATATTTTTATTTTATTTATTTGATGAAGATGAGAGAGAAGGAGAGAGATTTCCAATATAGTGGCTTACTTTTCAATACCCAAATGCCCTCAATATGGGGCTGGGTCAGGTCGAGGCCAGGTTTCTAACATAGATGATGTCAGGAACCTAGAGATTTGTGCCATTATCTTCTGAACTTCCATGGTACAAATTAGTGAGGAGCTAGAATCAGAAGCAGAGCCAAGACTTGAAGCCTGCAGCTCCAGAATGGGATACAGATGTCCCAAATGGCATCGTGCCCCTAGGCCAAATGTCTGGCCCCTATTAACACTTTTTAACTGTATAGCTAGCTAAGTATAATTGATTTAAATATCAATTATAGGGCAGGCATTATGTTTCAATAGCTTAAGCCACTGTTTGGCATGCCCATATCACATATCAGAGTGCCTAGGTTTATTTCCTGCCTCTGCTTCCAATCCAGCTTCCTCCTAATGTGCACCCTGGGAGACAGAAGATAATAGCTCAAGTACTTAGGTTCCCACCTATGTGGGAGAACTAGCTTGAGTTCCAGGCTCCTAGCTTCAGCTTCGCCCAGCCCTAGATGTTGCAAGCATTTGAAGAATGAGCCAGAGAATGGAAGATATCTCTCTCTGTCATCTGTCTATAATCTGTCTTTATCTATCTCTATGACTCTACCTCTCAAATACCAAAAAAGAATAAACTTTTTAAACAACAATTATGGAAATTTTCAAATATATTCAAACCAGAAAAAAAAGTATGGCAATGCTATGTACCTATCACCCATATCAATCAATATTTGACCTTCTGTTCCCTATATGTCCCTGAACTTAAACTTTCTCAAAATCATTTTGAAAATATCCAACCCAATATATTTTTTATTTGTAAATAATCAATAATGAAAAGTGTAGGTATTTATCTGTGAAATATTTGTGCCATTAGATAGTAAAAACACCATCATCGTTTCTGGAGAAAACTAACAAGAAGTCTTCCATATGATACAATCCATATAGTTTTCATATTTCTGAGGGTATGGATCTTTCAAGAATATTATAGAATTTTCTTCTTATAAATTCTTTTTGAAGAGAATGAACAAGATCAGTACTTTGTAACTGACTCATTCATTAAGTTTCAAATACAATCTCCCCTATCTCCATTTAGTTGGAAAGAATCTGGGTTGTTTATGCTAATGAGATTCTCCACTCCAAATTTGGCTGGTTGTATTGTTCTAGTCTTGTTTAGCATGTGCTTCTCACTGGTACCACGGCTCAATAGGCTAATCCTCTGCCTGCGGTGCCGGCACACCAGGTTCTAGTCCTGGTCTGGGCGCCAGATTCTGTCCCGGTTGCTCCTCTTCCAGGCCAGCTCTCTGCTATGGCCTGGGAGTGCAGTGGAGGATGGCCCAGTCCTTGGGCCCTGCACCCGCATAGGAGACCAGGAGAAGCACCTGGCTCCTGGCTTCGGATCAGCGCGATGCGCTGGCCGCAGCGGCCATTGGAGGGTGGACCAACAGCAAAGGAAGACCTTTCTCTCTGTCTCTCTCTCTCTCTCTCACTCACTGTCCACTCTGCTTGTCCAAAAAAAAAAAAGTGCTTCTCTTTCTAGTACTTCTTCTGAACTGATATTTACACTTAATCTAAAGCTTGATGAGATTGGTGGTTTTTATGGAAAAAAGGATAGAGACTATCTCAATGATGATATTTCAAGCTTTTAACTTGTATTGACATGTTCAAAATGTCTTTTTTCTGATATCATTGATCATTAATGACCAATATCCTTTGTTTATTCATGGGGATAATTCTGTAGAAAAATTTGCTTTTAATAACTAAAGAATGTATTGGATAGGAAAGGCAAGATAAAGGCAGCTTTTTCTCCTAAATACCATCAGTTTAAAATATATTGAAATTGTTAGTTACTGTCATATGAAGTAACCATGTGGTTTTTTTACTTTGGGGGAGAAAAATCAATTATTTGAAAGGTCACACAGAGAAAAAGAGAGAGAAGGTAAGAGAGAGAAAGAGAGGAGAGAGAAATTTTTTCCCATCTGCTGGTTACCCAGGACTGAGCCAGGCCAAATCAAGGGGCTGTGAACTCAAGCCACATCTCCCTATGTAAATGGCAGCAACCCAAGTACTTGAGCCATCACATGCTGCCTCCATAGGTGCACACTAACAGGAAGCTGGAATGGAGAATGAAGCTGGGACTGGAACTTAGGCACTCTGATATGGGTCAGAGATGTTGCAAACAGCAGTTTGACTACCATGTCAAACACTCACATCATGTCATTATTTTAGTGTTATGAGTTCATGAATTTTAGCATTGTATATGTTTCAGCGTTATAGTTATCTTATTGTAGCTGTTTTTCCTTTATTTTACCAGCAGGAGTGGGTTCAGATGGATTCTTGAGCCCTAATTAGCACAATAAAGTCTTCAAGTCCTCCTAGTTTTCTGCTTTTGTTTTAAAGATTTTTTAATTTATTTGAAAGAGCAACAGCAAGTTAGAGAGAGAGAGCAAATGAGAGAGAGATCTTCCATCTGCAGGTTCATTCACCAAATGGCCACCACAACCAGAACTGGGCCAGGCAGAAGCTGAGAGCCAGGAGCTCCATCTGGGAGTCCCACAAGAGTGGTAGGGGCCCAAGCAATTGTGCTATCACCATTGCCTTCCCAGGTGCATTAGCAGGAAGCTGGATTGGAAGTGGAGCGGCTGGAACTGGAACCAGCACTCTGAATTGGGATGCTGGCTTTGCAAGCTGAGGCTTAACCTCCTGTGCTGCAGTGCTGGTCCCAGCTATTTGCTTTTTGAAGAGATATTACCAGACCCGCAGACCTGGTGTCAGTCACTATCAGATGTATGGTTCATTACTAACGGTAAACATGGATCCAAGGAGAATTTATGGCCACTTTCTTGGCCATAGTTTCCAGATCTTTTGAACAGAGAACGCTAAATTGTAGACATGTAGACATTATACATGTATGAAACATGAGAGTACTTTAAAAAGTTCATAGAAAAGTGGAATTAAAAAATAAATTTAGGAGTGGGCATTCGCACAATTAAGACACTGCTTAGAACACCTGAATCTCATATTGGAGTGCCTGAGTTTGAGTCCCAGTTCCCTTTCTGATTCTATATTTTTGCTAATGTGCACCCTAGGAAGTGCATTGGATCCCTGCCACCATGTGGGAGATCGAGTGAAACTCTAAGTTTCTGGCTTCCACCTGACAAACCTTGGCTATTGTGAGCATTGGAAGGTTTGAGATGAAAAGTCATTTAGGAGAGAGGGAAAGTAACTGGGTCATTAGTAAATACTCTACCTAATAGTGCCTCTGAGATCCTGAGATTAGTGATTATAAAAATGAAGTAAACCATGAGGCATGTTAGTGAAGTGCTCTCCAATCCTTTAGAACAGTGTGGATACAAACATGGAGAAGACAGAAAGTTGGATTCAACCTGGTTGAGATTTGCCAAGAAAAAACAAATTGAAAGACAGGGGAATTAAATGTGTACTGAAGGGAGTGATTAAAATGATTGCATGAAATAACTCAGGAAATAAAGGAGAACATGCAAGTTAGGGATGGACTTGAGTTTCTGAAGATATGTAGATGGTCTAATTTCTGCTCCTGTGAATTTGACCTTATTTGGAAACAATATTTATAGTTGTAATCAAATTAAGGTGAGGTCATTAGGGTGGGTTTTAACACAATAAGATGAATGTACTTTTAAGAACAGAAGACAGAAACAGAGGGAGAAGACAGCCATGTGACAATGGAAGCAGTTGCTGGAATGATGGATCAGTCTGTATGCCAAGGAATGACAGTGACTGTAGCCAACACCAGAAGGGAGGAGAGGCAAGGAAGAATTCCCTACAAGTTTCAGAGGAAGCAGGGTTTGCCCGCCCCTTGATTTTTGGACTTGACTTCCAGAGTATGTAAAAATAAAATTCTGTTGTTTAAGCCATCCAGTTTGTGGTGCTTTCTTACTGTAGCCTTAGGAAACTTTCTCATTTATATGCTGTCAATGTTAGGAAACTGGCGCAGTTTTAGCCAGGTGGCCACATGGCCCAGCTACCTGAGCCAGGCTCCACCCCCATCCTAATGGGATTCGCTGCTCCTGCTTCCCTGCCCGCCCTCTGGCAAAGTTTTAAAAGGGCCTGTTCCTGCACACATGCTCTCTTGGCTCTTCCCTCCTGCTCTCTTGGTTTTTCTTTCTTGGCTTCTCTCTGCTCTCTTGGTTCCTCTCTCTAGCCTCCTCCTCTGGTCTCTTGGTTCTCTCTTGGCTTCTCTCTGCTCTCTTGGTTCCTCTCTCTAGCCTCCTCCTCTGGTCTCTTGGTTCTCTCTTGGCTTCTCTCTGCCCTCTTGACTCCTCTCCTCCTCTCGTCTCTCTCTCCTCTCTCTCTTACAGTCTCCTCTCTTTTTCCTTTGCCACCCCTTCACTCCAGTCTGTTGGGTGTTCCCAATAAACCTGTTCCCTTACTCCGGTGTTCGGTGTGTTTTGCGACAGCTAACAGTAATATATAACACTGTCCATTGTAATTTCATACCACACAGGCAGACCTGAGTGTGAGATAGAGATTGTAGGACACAACAACAAATACCTAAAGTATTTATTATTTGACCCTTTATAGACGACGTTTGCTCATCCCTGGCCTAGAGCGGCAAAGTGGAATGTGAGACCAAGGAAAGATACAACCCCATGCACAGTCCTTGGTAAGAAGCTCTGAATATTGTGAAAATAGGAAAAATGCACGTTCAAAATAGTAAATTTAACTGAAAGCTGTAGAAATAAGAAAAGGAATTATGTTAGGAAGTCGGGAACCAAATTACATGCTGAGGGGAGAGTTATATTTCTTAGTGAGAAGTACACCCCTTGCACCTTTGACCGGTATATAGAACTGCCCCTTTAATATGCCAGTGTGCACTGTCAGGCACACTGGAAAATCTAACATGTTTAAAGATGTTTGCCCACTTACTTCTCATGACACAGACAGATTTGAGTTCTAAAATAAAATAGTCTCTCAGAGTTTGGGTATACTATTGCTTCCTTGTAAGGTTTAAGATAAACTCTGTTTTCCTAGCATCCTCTTCTTTTCTTTTTTAGTAAGGTGATTGTAATATTGACCGCCCGTCCCTTTGTGTGTATGAGGGTGACAACTGTCAGGCATTTCGTTTTGTTTTTAAGCAAAAATGTTGCTAGACAGAGGAAACAAATTGAGGCTGAGCAAAGTGAAGTGTCTAGCCCAGTGTCACAGCCACTTCAGAATGGGACAAATCTTGGGTAATTATGGGAGCTAATTCAATTATTGGTGGAAATCTAATGCGAACTAATACTGCTGGAAATTCTCTAAAATTGTTTTTCTTGGAAAAGTTTCTGTGCAAGCAGTTCTCTTTCTTTGGAATTAGGTAGCATAAACAATGTCAGAAACTCAATGATTTTTCTTTTTTTCATTTTTCTTGTTTTTTGTTTTTCAAGACCCAGAAATGGAGGATGTCAACAACTGCTGATGTCTCTGAGATTTAACTCTTTCTGCAAAGAGCTCTACAGAGCTTTGATCTGACCTGAGAGGTGTTTCCTGCAGATTGTAGAATCCCAGTAGGAAAGGAAACCATGCAGTGATTTAACCCAACAGTGGTAAAACAAAGAACAAAAACAAACAAATAAGCAAAACAAAAGGGTCCCAGTGATGTCCCTAAGGAAAGGCTGGCTTAAAAGCTACTTGGAAGGAAAAGGTGGGATCTTTGTTGCAAACTTCTGTCCCTCATCCGCTTCTCTTCCTTTACCCCCGTACCCTGCAGTGTTGTGTTTTCTAGAAATCAGCAAGTAAGATCACAAGCAGGCTTTTCTTTTTTCACTCTGTCCCATAAAGAAAGCTTTATCACGTGTAGCCTTAAACTTGCAGCAAATTGGAAAGAAATGGCTCAAAGGCTTCAGCTCTTTCTGTGCCCTGGAAGCTGAGACGCACGTCAGTGGCCTTGCCAGCGTGGCCAATTCTCCGCAGACTGCCAGAAAAAAAGAGGCCAGTTGGAAAGAGGAAAAAGAAGAGATTGCCCAGGAGTGAGAACATGTACTTCCCCTTTGCTTTCTCCTAATTTGCTCTTGTCTGTCTCTACCCAGGCTGTCCCCACCTGCCAAAATGGCTCCGATTGCTGTGGAGTGCACCTCACTATCCTCTTTCCATCTGCGTTCCTGAGGTGCAGCCTCTGGCTGTGCACATTGGGGAACTGGCTGTCTCTGATCACCACCTCCAGGTAAGATCTGGTTCTGTTCTTTTGAATCTTGTGACGGTCATGTCAAAGTCTCACAGGAAAGAAGCTAATAAACCCCTTATCTGCAACATACTTGCTTTTGGTCCCTAACACTTCTCTGTGAACTTGATGGACCCCTGGTGATTTCACTGCAAATAGGAGAGATGTCTGGTCCAAGAAGTCTGAGAAACTCAAATCCAGTTTTGACTCTGAATAGATTCTGAGGATTCACTGACTCACTTAGCTGCTCCTGAGCTGTCTCATGTTAAAAAATGCAAATTTTAATGTTAATTTATTGGATGCTATTAAGGATTAGAAAAAGTATTTCTATATTTACATCTATATCCATATATCACTTGCCACAAAAAAACTCCACTAGCACTTATTAAATCTGAATCTGGCACAAATAATTATCTGTGTTGGGTATGTGTGCATTGGGGGAGGGGATCAGACTTCTGTCTGGCAAGCACCATGAGGTTATTTCTCAGGTCATCTGAATGCAGGATCCTGGTGTCCAGAAGCCATGCTGGTAAAGATGTTTGCCTCGTGGTCAGTGTCCAAGAGAAGTGAAGGATGGCAGCAGCTCCCTCTGTGACTTTGTCTGTAGCAGTCCTTGGACGCTGATTGCTCAAGAGGGTCTCAGTCGTTCCAGAGTGCAGGACTTGAGTGCACCTGCAGATCCAAGTGAAAGCCTCCCAGGGCACCAGTGCTCTTTCTTCATCTAAAGACTGGGGGACTGATGTGCAAATCCAGGTGAACACAGAATTCAGCTTGTTCAGATCGAAATGAAGAGACGTGGCGTGGCTCCTTTTTCTTTGACCTCTAGAATAAGTTATATTCCAACACACTTTGTTGGATGAAAACTTTGCCATGTGGCTATCCCTGGGAAAATCTATTTAAGTAGTGGGAGGCCAATTAAAGGCTTGCCAAATATAAGTCTTTTAAAATAACTGTGTACTAACTGTGCTTCTGGAAGGGCAGATGCGGGGAGGGGGGGAGGAGGGAGCACCTGCATGTTCCAAGGATCTTTCATTCATGTCATTGAACTTCTTCCCCATGTTTTCAACAGGGCTGGACAGCTTGACATTCACAAACTATACATGCATTGATTTGCACATTAACCAGTGAGATAAAATGTTTTAAGTAAAACTATGTAGTTTCGATGTGAAGCTGGGTGGTAGTTTGTCCTAACATAGTATCAAATTATCTGTTTCTCTTTGTTATTGTGAATTTTTTTTTTGTTAGAGTGATTTTGTGTCTCCATGCTGTGTTTTGGTAGTTTATTATTTTAAACATTATACTCAACATATTTTTTCTCTTTGGCATTAGCATTCCTGCTAACCCATTGAGTCTTTTAAAGATAAATTTATTAGAAATGATAGCATATTTTATTATTAAATATTTGCATTTTCTGGACACTGGCTTTAAAATTATGGTTGATGATAAATAATATAACTGAACCCCTAAAACAGTAGGCAAATTTGAATTGTGTCATGTAATTATTGGGAAAGAATTGCATTTTAAACTGTAAATTCAAAGTTACTCACTTTGTGTTTTACAGTATTTTTGATTTTATATAGTTTTTTCTTGGGGATACATTTGTTTTTAGTGTTTTAAAATATTTTTCATATAAGAAATATTTGCTCATTATAGAATAATAGAAAATATGGATATATAAAACATTTTTAAAGAAATCTCCTGCAGTGCTACCAGCCAGAAATAATGTTTGCATTTTTTCTAAACTTCCTGAAGGTTTGTTTCCATGCATATATATATTTCTATGCATATATATTTGTGTGTGTCTTTTATAACATAGTTTGTTATTTATGCTGCTTTGTAGCATGTATTTTAAAAATCAACTCTGTGATGTCAACCTATATACTTACAATGACTTCTTTACGTTAACCTCCAGTGGCTGCAGAAAGAGTTCTTAGCATAAATCCACCATAATTTGTTGGACATTTAGGTCCTTTGACTATTTTGATGTATTTCATCACCAGTCAATGGATCTTGCTAGGAATTAAATTAAAAGTACTCAGTAGTTTTATAGAAAAGGAACATATTTAGCATTCATCTTCTGGTAATTCAGTGGATGTGTACAGTTAACTGTTGATATCAGATGCTGATAAAGGGGAATCTATATTCTTAATTCCTTAAGATTTCTTAAAAGCCAGGAATGGACATGTAATTTTGAGCTCTCCATGTCATGTGGTGACTGAGTAAATAAAATTTCTATTTTTAATCAATTACTGAATTTTTACAGTAATCCTTGTTATATTTGTTAAATTGTATCTGCTAATATTTTGTTGAGGATTTTATAACTTAAAAACCTGCTTTTGAAGTTTTTCCTGTTTGTGCTATTTTTATGGGACTTCATAAGGAAGGCATTTTAAATTTTGTCCAATGAATAGTTAGCTCTTTTCTTTGCCTAGTATTTTACCTCAAAGAATGTCCCTTGCTCAAGCACTCCTACTACATCAGCTATCCCCAGTATCTCAACTTGGAGAATAGTTGTAGAGTAGTTCTGTTCATATGCTCTTTGGCTGTTTTTCTCTTCTGGTTGGTGTCAGTACAGGTAATTAATATTTTCCAGGGAAGTACCTGTCTTATCAAGATTTTAGAGTTATTTCCGCATATTGTATACAATTTTTGTATATTATACTCCTAAACACCCATTTTTGTCTCATTAGTATTTTTCTTTGTCTTTTGATGATTGGAATTAACAAATCTGTTTTGTTTAGATTTTTAGCTTTGTTTTGTTTACTTTTCTTTGTCCATTTTTAAAAAAATTCTAACTATATAAATTTAAAACCAGGCCTTTTATCCCATTGTTTTACAAATCCCTGAAAGAAGCAAGTCTAAATTTAAACTGTTTTCCTCTTATGATGCTTAACTTTATTGGTTGCAATAAATTGTTTGTAAAATTGTTACTGCATTTTCTAGGTCCTAATATTATTTATGAATCCAGACTATGAAGGTTAAGGCTTAGTAAACACAAAACAAGCACTTCATAAAATCAAGATGGTGTACACGTAGGCAGAATAAACCCCTCAAGTTCCTACCATAATACATGAAATTTTAATCCTGGTAACATTCCTGTAGTTGGTGTAATGAGGATGTAGAATATCTCTATCATTGAACAATTATATCATCTGAGGACCATTAAGGAGACCCAGAAATTACTTCTTTTTTTTTAGTTGTTTTACTCGCATTAGCTTATCAGGCATATATCAGGCCATGTGGAATTCTAAGAAAGTGAGGGCATGGGATGTGTAAGTATTGATATGAACAGGAAGTTGGGTCAGGGTATGTGACACTGACCAGAGTTTCTCCAGGACAAGAGGGAGGAGAGTCAACTGAGTGTGGGAGGGAGGCTATCTTTCTTACTGTAGAGCACAAAGTACAGTCTTGCTTACTTGCCCTTGAATTAAATCTAAACCCAAGAAATAATCTTACTGCTGCTTTATTTCTCAAACTGAAATGATACACAGAATGGATCTCTTTGTTTTGGCCATATTTTCATTTTCACTTTGGATGCCGCAGGAATCATGAGGTCCTATACTGGGATCTATGATGAGTGTCATCTTTTCTGTTCATTTCTGCCAAGAAGATGGATTTAAAAGCTTTAGAGACTTAATTCCAATGAATTAATATTCAAGTGGTTGAATTCCTCTTCTTCCTTTCCTAGTTTAAACTGGCAAGACCACAAAGTTTGCAAAATTCTGCCTCGTTATTTATTCCAAAGGCAACATTTAAATTTATTCTTTGCCATAATGAGGCTTAAACTTGGAGGGCTTGAGAAAGAATGCTGGTTACAGAGTTCCAATAGCAGGATTAGCTAATCAAATATCCTGGTTGATTTTAATTGAAAAATTTTGCCAACTTATTGTGGTAACGAAAGGTAGCTTCAGTTTAAATTATAGCTCTACCATTGTAACTCACTGTGAAATAAAAAATTTAATAAATTGTGTACAAGTTAGCTTTCTTTTCTTTTACTTTTAAAATCAACCTTGACAGAACAGCTTCAAAGGACATTTTCATAATGGATACTTCATCCAAAGAAAATATCCAGTTATTCTGCAAAAAATCATTGCAGCCTGTTGGAAGTCCTTCATTTGAAACAGAGTATCCTTCCTCAGAGGCAAAAGAACCATGCTGTGGTGAGCTAAAGGTAGAGTAAAAAAGAATGAGGTGGAATGCTCTTGCCTTCTGTTCATCTGCTGATTTTCATTGTTACATAGTAAATCTTGCTTTTGAACTTAGCTTCTACTGGCTCTCATCTCCTGTTCTTTCTTTATACTAAATATTCACTCAAGAAATATTAGTTTGTTTCGTATACATGCTAAACTGTTCCTTGGCTACTTCATCTCAGACCCATGCCTTACAAACCATATAACCCATATTTTTAAAAATGTTTTATATTGAGAAAGAAGTTGAGTTTGCATTTGACAAATGTGAACCTAAATACAAGGAAGTGTAGTTCCACTTTTTCATTCTATTATGTAAAAAACATAATCACAAGTGCTAGAGTTGTTTATGGTTCTTATTTGTGGTATTTTCCTCTGTATAGATGGACCCTTCCTCTCCTTGCCTTACCATACACTGATCTTTTCAAAGTTAGACTCATTGGAATGACCTTGGGAGACAGGGGGCAAAAGGTACAAAAAGAAAATTCAACTTTCATTTTGAATGAAAACCAATAAACACTTTGAATTCTAAGAGTGTTTGAATTTGGAGGACTCTACCTGAGCTCCAGGCTGAAGGCAACCTATAAAAGTGCTTGAGAGAGGCTGGTGCCTCAGCTCACTAGGCTAATCCTCCACCTAGCGGTGCTGGCACACTAGGTTCTAGTCCCGGTCGGGGCGCCGGATTCTATCCCAGTTGCCCTTCTTCCAGTCCAGCTCTCTGCTGTGGCCCGGGAAGGCAGTGGAGGATGGCCCAAGTGCTTGGGCCCTGCACCCCATGGGAGACCAGGAGAAACACCTGGCTCCTGCCTTTGGATCAGCGTGGTGTGCCGGCTGCAGAGCGCCAGCCGTGGTGGCCATTGGAGGGTGAATCAACAGCAAAAAGGAAGACCTTTCTCTCTGTCTGTCTCTCTCACTGTCCACTCTGCCTGTCAGAAAAAAAAAGTGCTTGAGAGAAATCATAATTGATAGCAAATTTAATGTTATTCACTGTTCTCAGTGTTTTACTTGTCTGTCTGATTAGTAGGTTTACAGTTTTTTCTTAAAATGCAGTCCGACTAAGTGTGATCTACCCTGTTTTCCAGATGTTCCTGGGGGCCTTGTCTTTTGTTTACTTTGCAAAAGCATTGGCCGAAGGCTATCTGAAGAGCACCATCACTCAGATAGAGAGAAGGTTTGATATTCCCTCCTCACTGGTGGGAGTGATTGATGGTAGTTTTGAAATTGGTAGGTATTGCACATGGCTGACTTTAATCCTAGGCATGCCTGCATGATACCCTCTCTGCATGCTCTCTTCTGCTGGGATCCAACTTGTAAAACCTTTTTTGAAACAGAATTTGCCAAAACTTTGTGCCATTGTAGAGGTAGTTCGCTTTCTCAGCACAACTAGCAATACGTTTTCTGCCCCAGGTGTTTACTATTGTATGACACACACACACAATTCAGGGCTCCCAATCAGAATGAAAGACTTTCCCGGGAAAGAGTACCTTCATCACATGCTGGTAGCTGTTTCGAGTCATAAACATACGACAAGTGTCTGTACAGAAGAGTAATATATGCTGGGAGTACTGTGATTCAATTTAGGAAATATGGGAGAACCCAAAGGAACCCTCTGAGAATTTACTGCAGGGGTTGGTGCCACAGTGTACTGGGTTAAGTGGCCAGCTGTGGGAGATGGCCCAGGTCCTTGGGCTCTGTCACCATGTAGGACATCGTGATGGAATTTCTAGCTCCTAGCTTCAGCCTGATCCAACTGTGAATGTTCTGGCCATTTAGGGAATGAATCAGCAGATGGAAGATTCATTCATTGTCTGTCTGTCTGTCTTCTGTCTCTCTCTTGTTTTGCCTTTCAAGTAAATTAAAATTTTTTACATAATGTATTGCAATGATTAGGAAGCTAAACCATAAAAAAGGATTTGGGACTTGGTGGTCTAGATAGATTAGAAAATGGATTATATTAACAAGAACAGCTTCCTACCAGCTAAGAGCAAGCAACAAAAATTCTGCTCACAGGTATCCTTAGCTAGCAATTGACTGTAGATTCCCTTTTAGAAAAGTGATTTGAGGGGCCAGTGTGGTGGCTCACTTGGTTAATCCCCTGCCTGCTGCGCTGGCATCCCATATGGGAGCTGGATTCTAGTCCCAGTTGCTCCTCTTCCAGTCCGGCTCTCGGCTGTGGCCTGGAAAGGCAGTGGAGGATGGTCTGAGTGCTTGGGTGCCTGCAACCATGTGGAAGACCAGGAAGAAGCACTGGCTCCTGGCTTCGGATCAGCATAGCTCCGGCCTGGCGGCTGTTTGGGGGGTGAATCAACAGAAGGAAGACCTTTCTCTCTGCCTCTCTCTCTGTCTAACTCTGTCAAATAAAAAAAAAAAAAAAAAAGGAAAGCGATTTGAGTTACTGTTTTGGAAATAGTAAGACTATAATCCCAGTTGTTCTGTGTCCCAAATTGATAGACTTACTAAGAGGCTTTAGTTTTTTTTTTATGTAAGTAAACAAAGTAGTTCCCTTTGCAATCTTTGAAGTCTTTTGGAATTCAAATACCTACAGTAGTAAAATCATTGTTCCAATTTCAATTTTATCTAATAAGTTTTCAGAAACATTAACAAATATTTTTATCTGTTCAATTTTTTTTTAGTTTGAACTTAACATTTCACTTGTTACTCAAAATTTTACAGAAAACAAATAAGAAAATTGGTAGATATCCTTTTGCCTTCAGGCTTTTGCTTCCCAAATCCATCACTTAACACCCTACCAAAATGAGATTTATAAATCAAGTGCTCATCTTCCTTAATCCAAAGACACTAGTGAAGGGAGAGTAAGCTAAGGTAGCAAAAATTGCAAAGCAGCATTTGAACCTTAGCCAACTGTAGTTCTGCCTGGTTAGAATTTAGTTTTCTCTAAGGGGAAAAAAGGTTTAAAAATAATGAATTCTCATGTTTCCCTTCATATCCTAGCAGAATTATTGATACTGTACTAAATTTACAGAAAATATTTTATAATAAATCTGGGTACTTTAATTCTGTAATTTGTATGAAAACCTGACAAAGTGTTTCAAGTCCAGCTGCCAGTTGTAAACATGGAGCTGTCCTGATATCTACTTTGCACTGTTGTGTTAGTGGAAGTCTTAAAAAGCTGACCTACACTCAGCACAAAAATATTTTCTTAATAAAATCCAGAATAGTTTTTAAAATGGCCTTACAATTCCTACAGATGACCAGAGCCTTGTTAAAATGCAGATGCTGATCCTGTATAGAGAGGATATGATTCTACATTGCTAACAAGCTCCCAGATGATGGTGATGTTTTTGAACCACACTTTGTATAGCAAGATTCAGCAATATCAGAGCACATCACTCCCTTATGTAGGCTCTGTAGACAGGCCTGGGTGGTTGATTTGTTCCTTACACCTGCCCTTCTAATGGCCCTGAACTGAATGGGAGGCCATGGGAAGTCAAGGTATGAGTGACTCATACATTATGAGAGATTAATTATGTAGGGGCAGCTGGTGCAAATTGAAAGAATAAAGCAGATTTGCAGAAAGAACCAGATTTGAGCAGAGAAAATTAAATGTCAAGTAATACTTTTTTTCTCAATCCAGATTATATTGTAAAAACATTTTAGTGCTAAAGAAACATAGAAATGATCTTGTCCAAAGTTTTTCTTGGATTCCCAAGTCCCAGTACAACTTAAATGTGTCTATATTTGGTAGAAGGTACTTAGTTTTCATTTGTAGGGGCCAGGATATAATTTCACATTCTTAGTCATTATTCTAGACTGTTCTCAATACAGAATTATTCATTGGAGGCTATACGCCATAAATGACATATAGTTCTCTTAATAACTTCCATTGAAAACTTTTATCACTAACATCATAGATTGGCTGTAGTTATTTACATGTATCTCTAGACAAGTGAGTTTCCTGACCATAATCCTAACGTGGTCTTTTTGTCTTTTCCCATATTCCTTCCTTCCAGGGCTCTGGACATACTGCCCCTCTCCTTTTCTAGCTCTCAGTTACTGTTAAATAAAACAATGTCCTTTATTTCTGAACATCTCTTGGCATTATCACCTAATGCCTACATACTGGAAACCCAAGTTCTCCTCTAAGTAGTTTTTAATACAATAAAACTCTTCTAAAAATGACAGTTACCAGGAAAAGATAAGGCTTATCATATAACAACCTAATATTTCCAGATACTAATTCTTTGCTGCAAATATTTCTCTGTGTTCTTTCTTCTCTATATTTAAAAGTTTTGCTTTTTTTTTTAAATTTTAGTATTTAGTATTATTTTTTTTTTTAACAGGCAGAGTGGACAGTGAGAGAGAGAGACAGAAAGGTCTTCCTTTGCCGTTGGTTCACCCTCCAATGGCCGCTGCGGCCGGCGCATCGCGCTGATCCAAAGCCAGGAGCCAGGTGCTTCTCCTGGTCTCCCATGTGGGTGCAGGGCCCAAGCACTTGGGCCATCCTCCACTGCCCTCCCTGACCACAGCAGAGAGCTGGCCTGGAAGAGGGGCAACCGGGACAGAATCTGGTGCCCCGACCAGGACTAGAACCCTCTCGACCAGCTGAACTTGGCGGACTATTGAGCTGTGGCGCTGGCCAGTATTTAGTATTTAACCAACTTGAAATAGAATTTAAATGGTGCCGGCACTGTGGCTCACTAGGCTAATCCTCTGCCTTACGGCGCCAGCACACCGGGTTCTAGTCCCGGTCGCGGCACCAGATTCTGTCCCAGTTGCCCTTCTTCCAGGCCAGCTCTCTGCTGTGGCCCTGGAGTACAGTGGAGGATGGCCCAAGTCCTTGGCTCCTGCACCCCATGGGAGACCAGGATAAGTACCTGGCTCCTGCCATCGCATCAGCGCGGTGTGGTGGCCTTTGGAGGGTGAACCAACAGCAAAGGAAGACCTTTGTCTCTCTCTCTCACCATCCACTCTGCCTGTCAAAAAAAAAAAAAAAAAAAAAAGAATTTAAATGGTATGGTATGATGTGGGAATTCATTTATTTTGATCTAACTAACTACAGTGTGCACTAATTGAATATATATTTGGCCTCAATTATTACTAATGCCCTCTTTGTCATATGGTAATTTACAACTTTGGTGTAAATCTATTTAAGTGTGTTTATCCATGACTCAATAGAAGAATGTCTTAATGATTATAATTTTTTAATTAGCTTTCCTATCATGTAGGAAAATCTCCAGCTTTACTTTTCAAATTTTTTCTTGGGTGTTCAGGAAGAAATTGTTGGAAATATTCTATTTGAATATGATTGAAATTGCAAGAATTTGTGGATCAGATCATATAATTGATATTTTATGATAGTCTTCCCATATAGGAACACAGTATAATTCTCCATTTGATCAGACTTTTTGTTTTATAGCTTTCAACTTTTTGCAATTTTTCTCTAAATATATTACTAATAGTTAGATTTACAATTTTTATTGTTATTCCATATTTAAAGTTTTTATTGTTATTAAAAGGATTTTTGTTAAATTTCCTATTTATGATTCCTGTGATTTAGGAACAATATTGCTGTTTAAATATTAACTGTATACAGCATAATTGTTGAGCTTCTGTTAATTTTAATTGACCATAGAAACTGTCAAATTTTCTGAATAGACCATGGTATTGCCAGAAGAGAAGACAATGTATATATTTTTTTAAGTCTTAGATCTGTTAGTTCTTATTCTTGCTTTATTGCATTGGCTATATTACTATATTGAACAGAAGCATTGACAATAGGCATTCTTTTCCATTTGACTAAATGCAAATAGTTCAAAACTTCACTGTGAAACAATACATAGGCTTGCTGCATGGTTTTTATTGAAACATTTTAAAAGTTGGTTTTCTCAGATTTTATTATTATACATGAGCGATTAACTCTATAGAGTGGTTTTACTACAACTATTAAGGTACACATGGAGTTATTCTCCTTCCATCAGTTACATAGTGATTTAACTAATAGATTTTTTTAAAAGTCTTCTTTGGTGGTACCCTTGTACTCGTGAAATAAACTCTGCTTGGTTGAGATATTTTTATATACTATTCAGTTTACTATTTTTTGTTTCAGATTCTTATATTTATATCTATAATTAAGCTTGGGCTCTAATGGCCTTTCTTGTATTATCTTTTCTACTTTTCACTTCAATGGATTAGTAATCTTACAAGCTGACATGGGTAGCCTTCTTTTCTATTCTATGCAATTGTGTGAATGTGTGTGTGTATGTGTGTAAGGGAGAGACATTCTGTTCCTTCGGCTTTTTTAAAATTTGAGAGGAAGGGAGAGAGATCCCTCTTCTGCTGGATTACTCCACAAATGCCCACAACAACCCGAGATGTCCCAGACTGAAGCTAGGAGCTGGAATTCAATCCAGGTTTCCCACATGGATGGCAGGGACCCAAGAATGATCCATCACCTGTTGCCTCGAAGGGAGTGAATTAGCAGGAAGCTGGAAAGAGGAGTGAAGGTGGGACTCAAATTCAGGCTCTTCCATATGGGATACATGTGTCCCAAGTGATACTTTATGTCATACCAGACACCCACTGCTATTTGTTGAAAATCCGATGAAACACGTCTGTAAAAGTCTTGGACCTGTTGTCTTTTTTCAAAGACTAATGAGAGTAGGTGTTGGGTAATTTTGATATCTGGTTTTTAAGGTTATTTATCACCATCTATTTTCCAAGTGTACCTCCTAAGAACTCAGAAAAGATACTAAGTAAAGGAAGCAAAAACTCCTATAACTATTTCAGATGCTGGAAAGGTATCATCTTCTATTTGGCACACTTGTGAAGTAGCACAGACACATCTTGCAGATATGAGTCCTTGTGAGTTGTTGATGGAAGATAGGTAGAGGTGGGCGGGGATTCTCTGTAACCTAAGTCAGCTTTCCCTTCATTTTGCTTCCTTTACTGTGGCACATGCCCAAAAGTGTGGACAAAATTATTGATATAACGAGATAGAAAATGTCTTCTGAATGCTTAAATGTCAAATTGGAAATATCATGCTTAATTTTTTTTTTTAAAATAAGAACACAAATTCTTCTTAGACTCACAAAGCCTCAGGCTACTTTTCTCAATATCTCTATTGTTATGCTCAAGGCTTTAAAAATTACTGCTCTTTTTCCAATTGACTAAAGCTGGAGATGTGACTAAACAGTAGGAAATTTGGTGATTGCTTACAGATGGAAGGAAACAGAATCTTGCTAGAAAACCGAGAACATCAAGAACTTCAAAGCACGGCCACCCATTAGCCATAATAATTAATTGCTGGGAACTTATTGACGTCTAGAAAGCAGAACACTTCTTAAAAACTAAATATCCCAAATGAAAATATCTGAAACATTAAGAATCCTTCCAATCTAAAACCCCAAACCATGTTTATCAATGTGTGTTCCGGAAAGGAACCTCAGCAACACATTTAAGCTAGCATTAGAAATGCAGATTTCTTGGCTTACCCCCAGATCCATGGAATCCAAAACTCTTGGGATCTGCCAAGAATCTGCGTTTTTAACAAGTTTCCGCTTCCCTCACTGCCTCCTTCCAGTAATTTTTATGCATGGCAAAGCGTGAGAAATCTTCCTTGAAACATGTTTAATCAGTCTTCAACTAAAACTGATTTATCACATGCTTCAATAGAAACATTTTAGAAAGACGTAATTCCAACCCTCAAAAATTCCCGTGCTCTGTAATTATTTTTTAACAAACAGATTGATGGGCATATTTTATGGCAATTTTTGTATTTCATAAAATTTGCTTTATAGGTGAGCATTGAGTTTTTATAATGGACATATAGATGCCTAAATTTTTATATGTCATGTCATTTTTATTTCTATTTGGCCTTTTTTGGAAAAAGCCTATAGATGTATTATAAAGTGTCATTTATATGAATATGAGTTTCATCATTTGATTTCATTCAAAACTAGGTACAGGTGTGCGAATTTTCTTTTTTATAGGGGATATCAACTAGACTGAGATGCACTGTATGTTTCAAAAGCAATTATAAAACTAACAGAAATTTTAATAGAAAAATATGAAGGAAGGAAGAGTAATTATTTTATTTCAGAAACTCTAAGTAAAATTTAACAGTGACTAAAAGAAACCTTCTACAATTTGATGTTATAAAACATTTTAAGAGGACAAGGTTGGGTGCAATGAGATGGAGGAATGGCAATTAATATATTTTGACAAAGGGATGAGGTCGTTGAAGTAATGAATATTAGAGATTTTGTCATCCCAGATGAAAGAACAGAAAGGTAAAATGGGAAAATGATGGGCAGGTGGTTTTATAAAAACAAAACATCACTAGGCCTGCTGTGTACATTCATACATGCAATTATACTGCTGGATTTTTTTAAGTTTTCTAACTTAAAATGCTTTCTTCTTTTTCCTCCAGGGAATCTCTTAGTTATAACATTTGTTAGTTACTTTGGAGCCAAACTTCACAGGCCAAAAATAATTGGAGCAGGGTGCCTAATCATGGGAGTTGGAACATTGTTCATTGCAATGCCTCAGTTCTTCATGGAACAGTAAGTCTAAAGCAGTCACCTTTTTTTCTTATCCAACCATTGCATTTCTCCCTTTTATGATTAAAATTGGTTACTTAAAATTAAGCTTAAACTATCATAATTATTCATATTATTTTTATTATAACATCTTTGAAGAGAATTTCAGAATACTTTTGTAATTATTTGTGACTTTATAACTATAAAAATTATTGATATGTATTGATGTCAACAAGATTAAAGGGAAAGTTTCACTAACATGCTTTAACTGAAATGCTTGCATTTAGCTGTGGAGACAAATATATCTATAAAAATAAATTGTCATATTATGTTATAAATATCACATGGGTAATTTATGAATGCTGTTAATAATAAATGTTGGATTGTGGCACACTGCCTGATGGATAATTGAGGAGTAAGGGGTTTAAAATAGCTCACACAACCATTCAACGTCCCAGTAGTCACACATAGGCCTTTATCAATTGAAATGTAGTATCTATGTCCTAGTAATCCTGAAGTCTACTCTTGGCACTTTTGTTGATACTTTACACGGTAGTAATTCCAAAGATTCTCACCTTTATTTTATTATTTGTTTGTTTTATTATTTTAATATAATATTATTTTAATATTTTTATCCTGACAGCAACTTTGATATACGCGCTAGTTTATCATATATTTTGTTGTAGAGCTGAGGCCCACAACTTGGAGAGTTTGGTGACTTGGTCAAGGGTCAGTGTCTTCTAATTATGGAACCAGGGCCCTAAAGCAGATCTTCAGACTTCCCATGCAACACCCTTCATATGTATCCATGCCATTCCCCAGTTAGGGGCTTACCTTTTGCTAGCTAAGAAAAATGACTAGCAAAACGATCCAAAGCAGGAGAGTATTTGTAAAAAGTACACTTCAGATGATATTTTGATTACTGTCAGTTCTAGGTCATTGTATCATTGACATTTTAGAGCTAGAGAGACTTAATTCCTAGGTCATATATATCAGTGCAGTCCAATTTTTTGTTCCTTAGCCAATCTTTAAAGGCAAGACACAAAATCTTTTTTTTTTTTTTTTAGAATTAAAAAAAAATTAATTGAGAGGTAGAGTTACAGACAGAGAGAGAGACAGAAAGAAAGATCTTCCATCTGCTGGTTCACTCCCAAAATGACTGCAATGACTGGAGCTGGGCTGATCTGAAGCCAGGAGCTTCTTCTGGGTCTCCCAAATGGGTGCAAGGGCCAAACACTTGGGCCATCTTTCACTTCCATCTTTCACTTTTTCACTAATGGCTTTCCCAGGCCATTAGCGGATAATTGGATCAGCAAAGGAAAATCCAGGACACAAACCTGGAGGCTTAGCCTACTATACACAGCTGCTGGCCCCAAGAATCTTTAAATGGGAGCCTTCCTATCTATTTGGAGCTTTCCCTGACACCTTCATTTTTGGTTAGAGAGGGAGCTGTGGTTTGGCACTTCTGTTGCTCTTTGAACACCTCTTTGGCATCCTTTCCACAAGGTAGGAGTTTGCTTGCATCATTGAGACTCTGCAGAGGTGTGATAGGGGACTGACGGGTAAGAAGGAGGGAAAAGAGAAAGCTGAGCAAGTGAGTCTCCAATATGTTTAAACCCTGCTTCACCTGCACTGCAGTCTGTCTCATTCATTGGGCCGCCAGTATATGCTCAGGGGAAAAATAGTTCCTCTACTACAAAAATTAAAAATTTGAAGCAGTCACCTAGGATAAATAAATCCTTGGCTCTAGACTTAATTCTCTGCAGGAGATCAGCAACTCTTCCATGTGTCCTTAGGCATGTTACTTAATCTTTCTAGCCCCTGGTTTCTGCATGTTATAATCGTGGCCCTCTGATACGGCAGCCTAAGCAGCAGCTTCACCTGCTGCACCACAACACTGGCCCCCATCTGACTTAGATTTTTAAGGGATCACACTGACTACTGCTGAAGAATTGATTTTAGTGGGTGAATACGGAGGCAGGGAGACTGTTTAGGAGACTGCTATATAATTTCCTGCATCAGAGTCCTATCCCATTAGTGTAGATCAGAACTAAAGCACCTATACCCTTGGTCCTCTGTTCAATCACTTTTTTTGTCTTTTTGTCCAACAGAGTCTAAATGGGCACAGATGCCATCTGTAGCCCTCATTTTACAACTAAACTGAAAACAAATAATTTTTAGAATGTCACAGATAAAATTTGGTGACAAAGAGGCACTTACATGAGTCTATTTATTCAAAACCTAAATAATTATCATGCTTGCAACAGTTAGCTTTTGACAAAAGGAACTGAGAATGTTCAAATTAAATTTTTTATAAAATGCTACATAATCACCATTGATGCTCACTTTAATAGCCTTGAGTCATTATAACAGTCCATGGTGTCTCTGTCCCTGTTAATTAATCAGAATTATATTTACTATGATTTCAATAACACGTGTTCTGTATAGTTAAAAATTGGAAATAGCTACCCTTTTGAAATGGTTCTTAACCTATTTTGGTCAGGGAACCATTTGGTGAATGATGACAACTGTGAACCTCCTCCCTTAAAACATTCACATAAAATGTGTGTACCAAAGATCCTCCTTTCTCAGGGGAATCTGTAGACCCACTGAGGCATAGGGTGCACAAAAGGGAGGTAAGGTAACCCTTTTGTTGACCATTTGAATATTTTAACTACTCAGTACATGTTTTCCTTACCATGCTGAATAAATGAGATTCTATGATTGGCATCTCAAATAACATTACTGTGATGGCCAGACACATAGTCATATAGCACCAAAACAAAATGAGAATGACGATGATGTTAGGAGACCTTTGTACTATGTACCTCTTCCCTGAAGGGTCCAGATGGAGCTGAGAACTTGGCTGAAGGTCACCCTGGGTGGCGTGGAGCAGAGGACTGTAGATAGCCTCGGCCTACTCTGGCCCTTCAGTCTCCAGCCTGGCTGCCATCATAGCTCCATCAGTGGAGGAAGGACTGGAATTAGAAACAAGTTGTAGCTGGATTACTAAATTGTGGAAAAAGCAGACTATTACCTAGATAATGATTCAAGAAGCCCATGTATCATTATCCTTTCTCTAGATTGAGCCTTGCAGCTCTACTAAATTCAAACTCTAAACAGATTATGCTAAAGGCCTTAATTATTGCTTGGCTCTGTCTCAGAGAGATTCATGATTTCTATCAAGTGTTGGATACTTTTTCAACAACGGAGTAGATGATTTGTGGTTATTATTTTATATTAAGATGATTTAAATAATTCTTTTATTTTCTTTTACTGCACTCTGTAATTGACAGGGACAGGTATGATAGGAAACTCATGAACCAGAACCGCAGTCTACCTCTGCAGCAAATTCTGCTGTTAAATGCTGGCTTGATTTGGTGATTCAGATTCCAAGATAGCTGTAACCTCAGTTAATGCCTGGATGAGTTGTCTGCAGAGCATGTACATAATATATATATTACGTTAATGGGTCTATCACCAAGAACATGTTCTTTTTATACAGGTACAGATATGACAGATACTCTCCTTCATCCAATTCCACTCTCAGCTTCTCTCCATGTCTTCCAGAGTCTAGAAGTCAATTATCAATCTCAGTTATGGAAAAATCAAAACCTCAAATAGATAAAGGTAAGATAGTTTTTTAAGTTGACAAAATAAACTCTTTTTTTTGGAGGCAAGGTGGTGCTTTCTATGTGCTTTGGTTTGCATAAGAATATCTGTACTTTTTTGGCTCTCAAGCCTTTATCGCTTAAATTGAAATATTACAATGTCATAAAGATCCCTAGAATAGAAAGCAGTAAATGATGAGATCCTAAGAAAATATACAGATGATCAAATATTATGACTATAATGACTGGTGACTGGAAAAGCCTTCCAATGTTTCTAAAATAAGATGGACCACCTTGATAGCAGGGAAAAACTGGTTTCGTACTCCTGGTTTCTCAGGAGTGAAAGAAATGTAATTTTCCCTCATAAATCAAGTTAATTTCCCTATTCAGATTCTTCCATCAGAATGGGAGAAACAATTTCATTCTGTCCTAATCTCCCTCCTTCCCCCAGGCATTGCCTGTGTTCTAGGAGCTTGCAAAATATCATGGAGGCAGTAAGGTTCTTGGTGTTATCAGTCCCTTGTCAGCTTAGATGTCTGAAACCCTGCTGGTCACAGTGTTTGGTCACACATGACATCACAGGGTCGTCTTGTGTTCTCATCTATGTCCTGTTTGGCACAGCAGCGCTCTCTGATACAGAAGTGACAGTCTTGGACACAGGGAAATCATCTTGCTTCCCACATGAGATGGGGCACAGGGAGTTTTGTCAGCAGGTCTAGTGTCCACGGGACTGGTGAATGTGGCCCAGCAGTGCCGTGTCTGCACTGCCCTTGGGAACAGGCCATCATCTCTTCCGTGAGATTTGCACTGTGAGAATCTTGAGAGGAGCCCCAGGCAAGGGTGCTTAACTCTGCCATGCAGCCTTTTTGTCTCCACGGTCTGATTTGGTCTGATTACCTCCCTGGGTTCTAACAGGCCAAAGTGCAATGAGATTTTCTCACTCAGAAACTCTACATATTTATCTGTAGAGGTTTCCTGCATCTCTAGGACTCAGTGCGGGCAAGAGAACAAGTCCCCTCTTGTCCCCCAGAGCATCAATATGCCACCACTCCCTCCCATGCCACCCCCTTCTCCCTCCTTTACTCCTGACCTGGGGAATCAATTTCCTTAGGGCACTATGCAAGGATTGACTCAAGTATTCCGTTTCATCTGTACACAATGTATAGTCAGTGATGAGATTGTAGGGAAGAGATGATACAAATGGCAGCACAACTAGTTAGGAAATACTTCAAATTCTGATATAAAAAAAAAACAACTGACACATAGGCTTTAGAGTCATGGGATTTAAGTAAAATATCTTTAATATAAGGGGGAAAGTTACCTGATATGTACGGAGCATAGCACTCACAGTCAATCCTTCTCCTTCCTTAGGTGAGGAACATTCCAGTATGAACATCCTCTTCCTTAGATACCATGAATGTGAAGCTACCCTAAAGATGGTCATGGGATTGAACATGAAATTCTTCTCAGAAATGCTCCACACCCAGTCCTCCTTCTCTCTCACGACACCCTGGAGTAGAGCTAGTCACAGGACTTGGGGCGATGGCCATGTCCTATACCCAATACTGCTGCCACTAGTCAGATGGGAGTGTTGTGCACTTGGACTGGAGCTAGTGGTACTCAGAAACCAAAAGATATATTTTATCTAATTTAATTTTAAAAATTACTTGAGTTTCAAAATGTTTTAATTAATTTAAATTTTAATAGCCACACATTGCTTGTGTCTACACACAGAACTAAAGTATCCACGCTTAAGCAAAACTGATGACCATAAAAAGCTTCTTAGGATTATACAAATGTTAAGTTTAGAATTGATATTAGAATTAATTTTTAGAAAAAGAACTCACATCATATTTTGGGGAGCAGACTAGAAATCCAGAGAGGAGAGTGCAAATCCTTGGTCCTGCACTACTTTTCCCGAAGGAGCAGAAAAGGGATCAAGCCCAGAAGAGTGCACAGTCGTCACAGCTGTGATGCAGTCTGATCCACTTGTTAAGAGGTGTTCACCTCAGTTCGTCAGAACTCACACTTCCTAGTCAAATGCCATTTTAAAGACTAATCCCAGCCCATGGGTCACTAGGAAGATTCAATTAAAAGATGCCCACCAATTTCTTAGCCCAGTGAGTGGCCGGGAGGGAGCTTCTAGAAATGGCAATTATTGGCGGTTGTTAACATTATAGATTTTATTAAAGAGTTTGACCTCTTCAAAGCTAGATATGGAGGCTATTATCCTACTTCACACAGGATTGTACCAAGACCTGGATTTTCTGAGAGCATTTTAAAGTTGCTTGCTTTGAATCTCACTCTAAAAATAGTCAAAAAATCTTTTTATAAAATTTCAATGATAAATCATAGGGGGTTCCCAATTTTATGTAAATTTTTTCCTAAAAATCCTAAAAACAATGTTCACTATCAAATAAACATAATTGTAGCCAGTACTGCCCAATACTGAAGTATAGGCAGTTTAGAATTTTGCGTTTCAGATAAAACTTGCTCAATAATAAAAACATTTATGACTTCTACTGAAAAATAGAACTGTCTAGAGTTAAGGTGAGAAAGTCTTTATTCAAAATGCATATTTTGCCCTCAATAGGTTGTTGAGTGTGACTGGATTGTAGGAATTCAAATAGCTTGAAATGGGTACAAAATAAAAAGAAGAGAGAAAATAAGAAGAGAGAACAGAAACAAGAAGCAATAGAGTTGCTTGGTTAAGTCTCTGGGAGGTTTCCACTCCCTACAAGATTACAGTGACAAAACATTTTCCAGTCTTCCTTCCATCAAATTATGACTACTTGCCATTTCACTTTTGCATTCTAATTCCTTTTTAGGACACATTGTAGAGATGCAGAGTAAATATTTAATTTCGATAGTTATCTAATTGCAATGCTCTCGTTTGCTTTTCTTTTAAGAATGTGAAGCTGATGCCAGCTCCTCCATGTGGGTTTATGTTTTCCTGGGAAACCTTCTTCGTGGCCTGGGAGAGACTCCCATACAGCCTCTAGGCATTGCCTACCTGGATGACTTTGCCAGTGAAGACAATGCACCTTTCTATATTGGTAATGCCCACTCTATCCATTTTTGGGGGAAGTAGGGTAGCTGGTTTCTCCATTCCATTGAATACTGCAACCAGTTCCTATATTCAGTTCACACATTTCTGAAGTGCTCAGTGAGGATTTGCATGATGAATGCACTCCAATTCGAAGGACCTATTAGGAAAGAACAGTAAGTTGGAAGGAAATAATCGTGCGCTCCACTGTAGTGACGCCTGACCGCCTCAAAGTCTTCTTGTGGGCATCAGATTTTATAGGCTTTTTTAAGTGGGATCATTATAGTGCTGCTGCAGCATTTAGGTGTGTACATATCTGTATATTCTAAACTTGTTTCCAGAGCCTCAGAAATTTCTTTGATATTTATAAGCACTGATTATTAAAAGCACCTTTTACCCCTATGAGAGATCACAAAGAATTCTGAGGTAACAAGAGCAGGTAGCGATGGGTAAAGAAAAGTATAAAAGGATGGAAGCAAGGCCAGAGGCTGTCCTATCTCTGGAATCAGTCTCTGTGGATGATCAACAACAAAAGCTGCAAAGGCCAAAATGATACAGCAAAGACATACCTCGAAGTTCAGATGCATCTAAGCAGCATTTACTGGGGGACTCTATGTCTTAGAATTAAGCTCAAAGCTAGAGATACAGAATGACTAAGGCTTGTTCTGTTTCACACATCAGCTTGGCTTCGTGATCTTTTAAAGAACTGTCTACTGGGGACAGAAGGGTATGATTTAAATTCTTTGGACAGGGAGAGGGGACTGCAGCTAGGTCCATAGGACAGACCTGCCCTGTCTGTGCTATGTACAACTTTGCAGTGTTCTGGTTGAGCCAAGCAGGCTATAATTAAGAATATGGTTTCTTGTACTTATGGGAAAAAATCAGTATTAAGCAGGGAATAGAACTGGAACAAAATCTCTGTCGCATGCACTGGGCATTTCCTTTGGGATTTGGAGGAAAGTTTATAGCCAGGAGAAGCATGCACGGGCCCAGTGCCTCCTTCCTCACCAGGAGCACAGAGCCCACTTCTTCTCTTAATTCTCTCTTCTCTTCTATTTTTTGAATTTTTTTTTATTTGAAAGGGAGAGTTACGGAGATGCAGAGGCAGAGAGGGAGAGAAAGGAAATCCCCCATCATCTGCTTCATTCCCCAGATGGGTGCAACAGCCAGAGCTGTTCTGATCCAAAGCCAGGAGCCAGGAATTTTTTCTGCATCTCCCATGTAGGTGCAGGAACCCAAGGAATTGGACTATCTTCCACTGCTTTCCCAGGCCATAGCAGAAAGCTGGATCAGAAGTGGAGCAGCCAGGACTGGAACCAGTGCCCATATGGAATGCCGGCACTGCAGGCAGCAGCTTTACCCATAGCACCAGCCTCTTTTCTGTTCTGAAAACGATCTGGGACCTGCTAGTTACACCTCCAGTTAATTGAAATCTACAGAAATATGTGTGCCTTAAGCTGTGTGTTGAATGCAAAGCAGTTGGGAATCTTTGGCAAGAAAGAGCCACTTTTCTGGTTCCTAGAGATGGTGTCTTTTAAGCAGTCGGCCATGTTACTGTTAGGGCTTCCCTGATGGCCATGAGCCTCCCAGAGCACTCAACCTGTTCCCAAGTCTGCTTCCTTTACTGGCTGCTTCCAGGATTCCGCACAGATACTGCTCTTGAAAACAGGCCTACACAGCTCTCTGCTGTGGCCAGGGAGTGCAGTGGAGGATGGCCCAAGTGCTTGGGCCCTGCACCCCATGGGAGACCAGGAGAAGCACCTGGCTCCTGTCATCAGATCAGCGCGGTGCGCTGGCCACAACGCACTGGCCGTGGCAGTCATTGGAGGGTGAACTAATGGCAAAAAGGAAGACCTTTCTCTGTCTCTCTCTCTCTCACTGTCCACTCTGCCTGTCAAAAAAAAAAAAAAAAAAAAAAAAAAGAAAAAAGAAAAAGAAAACAGGCCTACAGAACCTCGAAGTGTATGGATACACTGTTCTAATGTGCAAGGAATCAGTTTCATTGTCAAGAGGAATCTTACACTCATCTGACCATAGCAAGTTGTTTAAAGACTATCAAAACCAGTACAATTGCAGTTTTTAAGAGTGGGCAATCTAATCCCAGAGAGTGAAGTTTGCTAAATTAGCTTCTTTAGAGCTTTGATATTCTTTTCTTATCACAAGACACTAAGGGCTTTAAAGGTGTTTGTTCTTCCCTCAAAGTAGAAAACTTAATTCCTTTTCAGTGTGGTTGAAAAAGTTGACAAATGAAATACACACAAATGTAGAGTTGGAACATTTTCAGCAACTAACTGGATCTCACATTTCTTGTTTAAAATTTTAATTTATCAAAACAAATAAACGGCAACTTCTTCTCTCTTTTCTTTCCTTTTTTTGTTGTTTGTGCAGGGTGTGTGCAGACAGTTGCAATTATAGGACCAATCTTTGGCTTCCTGTTAGGCTCATTATGTGCCAAACTCTATGTTGACATTGGCTTTGTAAACCTAGGTAAGGGAGTTTATTTTTATTTATTCATTTACTTTAGATGCTGTGAATTTTGATATGGGTACATTGTGAAAAGTATCAAATCATTTCTTTATAAAATGACGGGGTAGTCATCTTTCATAAAATGAAAATAATCCATGGGAAACTTATTGATACAATCATCACATGCATTAGTAAATGGAACTTGAAAATAGGTGGTGATAGAACTGAATAAATGACCATAATTTGTTTGGAAGATGTATCCTAGTTTCATTTCTGATTGGCCAGTTGAGAGGCATTCCAGTGTAGTTAAGACCCCAAACCAAGGCTGCCTGTGGGCTCTTGCCAATTTCAGGTGTGTGAGCATTCATTAGAGTTACATCAATTGATAATGCATCTGGGGACTTGCCAGAAGAACTAGGGACTGAAACTCTTCTGGCAACCAAATGACCCCCCACTCTTTTTTTTTTAACTTACCAAGTCTTTTCCAAGTGGAAATATATTGTAGAATGTTGACCTTCCTTTTAGAATACTTGTGCAGGATTTCATTGGGCGGCTTTATCTTCCCATAGCTAGTCACTTATTCCCATCCCCAGGAGATACATCCCCTAAAGATGAATGGCATTTATCTTTTTTAAAAAAGAATTCTAAGACTGCTATTAGAAACAAGTTTCATATGAAATTGCATTTTAAAGTCATTGTGTATTAAAACAGAATATAAAATTCTTGCACTTTTTAAATGAAATGAACTGCAAGGTATGCTGCCCAAATTTTATTTGTCCATTCATGACTTCACCAAAGTTATTTTACTGTAACTATACCCTAGTTGATATTCCAGAGCAGTGAACAAAATACTTCAGTTCTTTGACTTCACAAAGTGTAAAATCCTGATCTAGATGAGGACATATAAGTGTGATGAGAGGTATGCAAGAGGATTGTTAAGGGGAAGCATCTAACATGCAGTGACAGAGTTGTATAAATATTTTACCAAATATAATGTGGTAGCAGTTGAGCCCAAATTTCAAGGTATGAGTATCCATTTTATTGATCTCATAGAATATGATGGTGACAAAGTATAATCATATTTTATAGATTATTATATATGAAATCAATGATTTGATTTAAAATCTGTCAAATCTTTTTAATCAAATGAAAAATAATGTCAAACATAAAATTCCATGGTAAATTAGCTATTGAAGTTGTGCTTCAGATATACAAATACCATCTGAATTCAAATAAAATGTTTATTCTAGATTTGGCTTGGAGGGTGCAAGGCATTAATCTTCCTTCGAGTAAAATCTTAGATGCTCTATGCATAAATTAGATGAATGTGGTGCTGATGTGGAGTAGCTGAGTGGGACATGTTGAGCCCTCATTAGTCTCTCTCAGGTGTTGTCTTTCTCTTGTCCTGGGTCCTTCTTCAGGCACTAGTACACAGTTTGGATTTTATAAGACCTTCCCCAAACTTAAGACTCTATAATTTTTCATCTAAGGACCCAAAGGAGAAAGCATCACATGGTTTCTCTCATTCCTTCAGCAAACCACACATTAATATCCAGATTAGGATAAAAGTCATATATGAATTGTTAGGTATTTTGTGATAGGATAGAGCTAATGCCAGGATTTAATTTTGTTAATAGAAGCCTATGTCAACCCATTGGCCTTGCAATGCATGCTCCTTGGCCATCCTCTCTGTCTTTCAGATCATGTAACTATTACCCCGAAGGATCCCCAGTGGGTAGGTGCCTGGTGGCTTGGCTATCTGATAGCAGGAACTGTAAGTCTTCTTGCAGCCGTGCCTTTCTGGTGTTTACCAAAGAATTTACCAAGACCCCAAAGTAGAGAGGAGTCCAGTTCCTGCTCTGAGAAATCCAGGTTCATTGTGGATGATCAGGTCAACTACCAAACAGCTCATGGAGAAAAAGCAAAAATGCTGGAAATGGCAAGAGGTAAGTCTGATTCTTTCTGATTTCTTCCTGATTTTGAAGTTCTTTCAGTTTACTTGTTGGGGCTATAGAAGATTTACAAACAATACCACTCTCTGCCTCCCCTGTGTTCAGAGAGGGAGAAAGTGGGAGGGGGAAAGAGAAACATACACACATACTCACACACACACAGGGAGGGTAGTGGGATTTTTCACACATCAGCCTTATTATGGGAAAACTGAGTGGAGCACATGACCACAAGCTTTGCTAACCTTCTTGGTGGACATTTACATCAATTGTCTGAACCCAGGATCACTGCTTTGTAGAAATCTCAGTGGACAGAACAATGGGTCTTCAGGGTTTGCAGTCTTTTAACAGATGAGAGCCACCCATTTGAGAGGTTGTATCAGTGCATCTCTCTCACTAAAGAGTGCATTGTGGGCACATGGCCAGAAGAGTTTTAACAGATTCTTTGTAGGGGGAGGGGTGCCCACAAGGCTGGTCCTTTTCCTCCTCAAGCAGTATTGACATGATTGGCTGGATAACAATAGGAAGAGAGAATAAGAAAATTCATTTCTCATGCTAAAATATATATGTTAAATAGAGGTAACATTCATATTTCTTCCCTGTAACCTTGATCCAAATTTGAAGAATAGAGACCAGAAAACAAACATTCTCTAATTTGTTGATTAGAGAAGCAGAGACATGAAGAGGTAGACAGACAAAAAGAAAAACAGAAGAGCTCCCATCCTCTGGTTCATTCACTAAATGTGTGCAATGCCCAGGGCTGGGTAGAGTGGAAGCCAGAAGCCAGGTGTCAGTGCAGGTGTCCCATGTGGGTGAGAGGAACTGCTTGAGCCAGCACCAATGCATCCCAGGGTGTGCTTTTGCAGGGAGCTGAAATCCAGAGCAGAGCTGTGACTCAGACCCAGCCACTCGAGTAAGAAATGCAGGCATCTTAACTTCTAAGCCAAGCACCTCAAAAACAACCATTCCTGCTGCCCTGCCTTTGGCTCCCAGCTGCATGGCCATGGGGGTATTCTCATCCATGTTGCCTGTTAGCTCCTTCTGTTACAGGGATCTGTCCTGTCTGACTTTCACCACTGATGCAATTGTCTTACCTGCATGGTGAAGCCAGTGTCTAAGTCTTGCCAGATCACAGCCTTGCTTTGCAGCAGTGGCTTGGTACACATAATACATAAGTGTGTGGCACCCTCAATTGCCCTGAGTTCTGTGATGGGGGAGACTCACTCAGCTGAATCCTGCTGCCGCAGCTTCATCTTCTGCCAAGTGTTATGCTGTCTTTAATTACTCTGTGTTATTTTTGTCTTGTAGATTTTCTTCCATCTCTGAAGAATCTTTTGGGGAATCCAGTATACTTCTTGTATCTGTGTGCGAGCACCATTCAGTTCAATTCTTTATTTGGCATGGTGACCTATAAACCCAAGTACATCGAGCAGCAGTATGGGCAGTCATCCTCCAAAGCCAACTTTGTCATCGGTATGCTTATCTGCCCTTTGTGCTTTCCTGCAGGTGTTAGCTCAGATGCATCTGGATAACTGGTGGTAATCTTAGAGATCATTCTCATACACCTAAGATAACTTAGGGCATGTTAGCTTAAGTATAAAAGTAAGTGAAAAAAAGTGCCTAGTAGAATAAAATGTTAGGTTAGTCCTTGGCTCACCTTTGTAGCAAGAATTATTCATCCATGTGGGTGCGTGACACACACCCTAAGCAGTTCGTGAAGGAATACTGTGCAGACCAAGCATGCATTTTATCAGGGGATTATTCCCTCTGGGCTTTTATGTCACAAGTGTAGCTGCAAACCTACAACAGTGACCATCTTGCATCAACAGTTTCTGGCATTATATAAAAAGGACACTTAGGTTAAGAGGTGGTCATCAAAAAACAAAGCTTGTTTTTATTCAGAATCAAAAGACTTTTTTCGGATTCCTGGCAGTGGGATTATTTAAAAGGATTGTGTTTCTAGCACAGCAGTACAGTAAAGACATGAGAAAGGTATTCCAGGGCCAAAGAAAAGGATGAAGAATGAACAAATAAGAATCAGAGTCTGCACATGCAAAGCCATCATGCTGGAAGTAATTGGATACTTTTAACCCTGGGTTAGTTCATTTGGTCCATAAACGTCACTTAGTGTTACTGTTTAAAGGCATAACATGTATTCTATTTATTTGGACATTTTTTATGATACAAGTATCCAGTGATTTAAATTATTTCTTCTTCATTACATACTTTAAAAATCATTCTGTCTTCCTCCCTGAAAGAGACCTTAGGCTAGAGGTGGGTAATAGCTGAGTGCGTTTTAGCAGATGTAATTTTCCTATGATCCTCCTGGGTAATCAGCGGATGCTGGTAAGATTCACTGTTTCTTTGGATTATTCTCCAAAATTCTTGAAGTTAAGTTTAGGTTGCTCTTCTATGTTTAATGTTAATTGACTCAAGTTAATTTAATGTTATTATTTAATGATCTGAAAACAATATTTTGGGTTTTTTTTCCCCCAGACAACCATCATTGCCAAGCAATGCTTTATCTTGACTTTTGAAAGAATAGACGAGGAATAAAAGTTGAAGAGACATTATTTTATTTTTAATTTTTATGTGCTATGGAAATACAACTTACAGTCAGAACTTAAGTCCACAAATATCAAATGTACAGCTCAGGTGGATAACCGTCATCCAGAACATATAGCACATGTCAGGCTCCTTCAAATATCCCTTCCAGTAAATATTTGTCTCAAATCTAATAACTTCTGAGCTCTCATGTCATAGACCAGTTCTATTTTTGAACTTCATAAAAGTTGAGTAACATACTATATACTCTTTTGTGTCAAGCTTATTTCAATTAAAGTAAAAACCTATGAGATTCATCCATGTTATCATGTTTACAAGTGGGTTATTCTTGATTACTATGTCATACCCGATTATATAAATTGACTAAATTTTATTTGTTTATTAATTGTATTTTTGGTGGGCATTTGAGAAGTCTTCTGCGTTTGGATTTTATAGATAACCAAGATGTGACAGTTTGTCCTGTGTGTTGCTGAGCCAATACATTGATTTTTCTTGGCTTTACTCTGGAGAGCAATTGCTGGGTAATAAATACTGTGTTTGTTTAGATTCAGTAGTTTTTTACAAGCACAGTGTAGTCATCCAAAGTTTTACTCTACTTAGAAGTGCCACTACATTCCAGTTGCTCCCTATTCTTTTTTTTTAGATCTATTTTTATCTATTATTTGAAATACAAAGTTGCAGAGAGAGGCAGAGATAGAGAGAGAAGTCTTTAATCCGCTGGTTCACTCCCTAAATGGCCACAACAACTTCAGAGCGGAGCCAAATCTGAAGTCAGGAGCCAGGAGCTTCCTCCAGGTCTCTCATGTGGGTGCAGGGGCCCAAGGACCTGGGCCATCCTTTACTGCATTCCAACCATAGCAGAAAAGCTGTATCAGAAGTGGAGCATCCAGGACTAGAACCTGCGCCCATAGGGATGCAGTTGCTTCAGGCTGGGGCTTTAACCCACTATGCCACAGCGCTGGTCCCAAGTTGCTCCCTATTCTTTTCAGCTCTCAGTCCTTTTCACTGTAGCCATTCTTAGGGGGCATGGTGGTAGTATCTCATTACAGCTTAATTTGCATTTGCCTGATGACTAATGATAACAAGCGCTAATTCACAGGCTCAGTGGTCATTTCCACATTCTCTCTCAGTAATCCTGGCCTAGTCCTTTGCCTCCCCTTTTTTTCTTTTTTCATTTGCACTTCTTATAAATTGATTTTTAGGAGTACTATGTGAAGATACTTTCAGAGGTTTATGGGGCAGTGGAATTAAAAGATGTTTGTTTTCATGTAAAAGTTTTTTAAATCCATACATAGCTTTTCATAATATACATTTCTATGGACTTTGGGGAGAACTCTCCTATATTTTTTGATACAAGTTCTTTATTGCATATATGCATTACCAATGTTGTCTCTGAGGCTTCAGCATGCTGTTGAATTTTCCTAATGGTAACCTGCTTATTTTTAATTTTATTTAATTTTCATCACCGTGGTTTTGATGCTGTTTTAAGAAGTCCTTTGTAAATCCAAAGATCATGAGAGTATTTTCCTGGTATTTCTACTACTACCTTAATTGTTAAGGATTTTACATTTACATTATCATCATTTCAGCTAATTGTTATAGAATGTGAAGGAAAACATTTAAGTGCATTTAGCAAAATGAAAAGACCATCTTTTGCCCTTGAGCTATAGTGAAGGGACACATTTTTACGTTTTGTTTCTCTCTACTCCACATGTGCAAACCACTTGGAGATTGGAAGGCATTTCATTTTGTTTGCACTGCAGTGATGAATACTTTTTTTACTTTAAAATTAAGATTCAATTCATAAAGGAAAATTAAAAGCATTATTTAGAGAGAGGTGCTTCTAATAGATAATTAGATTATATAATAACACTTTACTGAGTAGGTAATAAATGAAACACTTTTTCCTAAAAATTATTTTAAGGAGAATGAGCACACATCAAAGAACCTGAAGTTCTGAGCAATTCAGTGTTCTGCTCAATGCCATCCATATATAATCTTTACATGCATATGGCATAGCTAAAAATAAAATTTCCCCTGAGTTTACAAGCTAAATACCCTCACTGTGTATAATTGCAATACTTACAGGGAGAATCAAACTGATAATTTTCTTTTAAGTTATGACTTGATTTCTTTAAATCTGTGACTCCACTCTCTGTAATCAAATGGACTCTGAGATCCAAACTCATGAGAATGTTTGGAATCATATATCAAAGGTTGCCTAAAATTCAGTCAATCATAGTTTCTAATATATCACATCTACAGATAATTCAAATGCTTTTGTAAGCTGTATATGAGAGTGCTTAATAATTCCACATCATTACAGCCAAGATCCTTCCCTTGGTTTCATATTAGTACATGTGGGACACAGCAGCATAAGGGAAAATGGGTGAAGTAAGTGACACTTATTTTGATTATCTGTAGAATGATGAAAATAGATACTCCCTAGGTGAAATCAAAGTGAGGGAAGGCATGTAAAATGCAGAGAGCTGTCATTCAGTAAACATTGTTTTCTCACTTTCTTGCTTTGCTTCTTCCATCCCACTACCACCTTCTTCTCCTTATTAAATTTGTGTTAAAATGTGAGAGAGGCACCAAGAAGACGTATTTCTGTCTTTATTCTCAGAAAAGGCATCTGATGTGACACAGGTGAAAGAATGAACAGAAATTTTCCTGCATATTCAAGGGCCATTTGTTGCAACAGCAACTTATTTTGGCTGTACACATCTTTTTCCTAAAGTTTAAAGCTATATTCTTTCCAAACAAATGGCATTTTTTCTGTTAATTACTTTAACTTTGTAAAGAAAAACCAATGAAAAATGTTTCAAATTCAAGGAATGGCAAGTATATGGTGGAATGATTTTGTTGCTTTAAGTTTATAGGTTTTTCTTTAAATTTCCCTGTAATTTCTACTGGAAGATATTTGGAGGTACCATTGTCAATTCTAGGAGGCATTATGCAAACAAACAAGGAAATACTTAGAGAATTATTTGGAGATAGGCATTTAGGAAAGAAAACATCATTATCTTTCTTGCAGTTAAGTCATCATAGCATGTTTCCTAATTGTATTATAATGTGCTCTAGAATTTTCTAAAGTGAAAATTAAGACTGCAAGATCTTAATTTGTGAGAAAGAAAGTTATGTTTATTATGCCCAGGATGCATGATAAATTTTACATTTTTGTCTGCATTCAGTTGGCTGTGAGTGTTGAAAGTACCAGATATTTTTGTTTTCATTTCTCTCTGTAAAATTTATATCTTAATACTTATTTCTTTAAACATAAGAGAGATGTTATGAATTATATTGCAATAATATCTCACACGGGGAGAAGCCCTGAAATATCCCAACGTATTTTTTATTATTATTCATTGTTATTTCATCCTAAAGTATTTGTACAGCTATCACAGTTTTCACTTTACATGGTAATAGTGCTGACTATCTCAAAGTATATTGCACAAGCCTCATAACTCTGCTTTAAATCAGTAACAGAAGTATCAGGGACTCTAACCTCAGCAAGTGCGAAGAAGCAATAGTGATTATTAACAATAATTAATAAAGATATAGTAATAAATTAGCTTTTACATCGCTCCTAGCTTATTTGGTGTTGGAGTGAATATGCATATTAAACAAAAAAGGACACCGGTGTCATTTTATCACCTTGACAACATGATTATTGGCTTAATATTACAGGAAAGGAGACAAGATTTAGAGGCATTCAGAGAATTAACTTCAGTTGCACAACTATGAGGTGGTACAACTGAGATCCAGTCCCAAGCTTGGGTCTGTAGAACCCAAGCTCTCAACCACTCCATGGGACTTTTACTAGTGTTGTTGGGTTTTATTCACTTTCATTTGATTACTGGTGAGACTGCATATCTGTGTATCTAATTACCCTGCTCTTGTACATTTGTTTATCAAAGGCACTATTTCTGAAGCCCCTTGGAAGAGAAGCAATATAATATAGTGACAGTAGCCTGGGACTTGACATTAGACTTGGCTTCAAATCTGGTTTTACTACTTAGTAACCATGACCATGAACAGATTGCTCTCTGAGGCAGGGATAATAACATGCTTGTTTTAAGATCATGGCCAGTAAGTGTTTCAGATGCTTACCTGAGGACTAGTATATTATAAACAAAGAAAACTATAGGTGGGTATTGTTGATAGGAAGTATAAGGATGCTTCAGAGAGTTCATGGAAAATAGAAATAAAAGATAACTTTGTGTGAAATAATTTTAAAATCCCCACATTAGTTTTTTTTTCACACATAACTAAGCATTTTCTGTGGATACTTTGAAGACCATTCATATACCAGCTAAGAGGCTGGAGTAAGAAAAATAAATTTTGTTTCGGCAAGAAAATAGAAACTGCCTGCCAATGCCAGCATCCATATGGTGTCCGGTTCGAGTCCCAGCTGCTCCACATCTGATCCAGCCTCCTGTTAATGCACCTGGGAAAGCAGTAAAAGGTGGCCCAAGTCCTTGGACCCCCACCACCCATGTGAGAGACTAGGATAGAGTTCTTGGCTCTTGGCTTTGGCCCAGCCTACCCCTATCAAATGCAACCATTTGGAGAATGGACCACTATATGGAAGATCTCTCTCTCTCCCTCTCTGTCTCCCTCTCTCTCTGACACTCTGCCTTTCAAATAAATTTTTTAAAATCTTAAGAAAAAGGAAACCAAGATTTTTTTATTCCATGTATCCCACTTGCTGATTATTTTTAACTCAAAATCCTCTCTCTTATTTTTAAAGATTTATCTAACTTAAAGGCAGAGTGACAGAGACTGGGAGAAACAGAAAGAGCTCTTCCATCTATCTGTTCTGTCCACAAGTGGCTTCAACAGCCATGTCTGGGCCAGGCTGAAGCCAGAAACCCTGAAGCCCATCTGGGTCTCCTACATAGGTGGCAGGGGCCCAAGAACTTGAACCATAATTCACTACTTTTCCAGGTGCATTTTCAGGAAGCTGGTTTGAAAGCAGAGCATCTGGAACTAGAATTGGCATGCCATTAGGGGATGCCAGCATCTCAAACAGCAGCTTAACCAGCTATGCAAGAACACCAGCCCCTTTACCACACAATCATTAGAAACATTAACAGACACTTAGTTGCCAGGTACCTTTTCATCCAAGAATTAGACAAGAAGCACATCAGTTCTTGCTTTTTTTCATTGCTTTTTTTCAGTGTTTATTGCTTTTTTTAAAAAATGTATTTATTTACTTGAAAAGCAGAGTTACAGAGAGACTGAGGCAGAGAGAGAGGTCTTCCATCCACTGGTCACTCTCCACATGGGTGCAATGGCTGGAGCTTGTGCCGATCCAAAGCCAGGATCCAGGAGCTCTTCCTGGTCTGCCATGCAGGTACAGGGACCCAAGGACTTGGGCCATCATCTGCTACTTTCCCAGGCCATAGCAGAGAGCGAGATCAGAAGTGGAGCAGCTGGGACTCAAACTGGCACCCATATGGGATGCCAGCACTGCAGGTGACAGCTTTACCCTCTACACCACAGCGCTGGGCCCCAGTGTTTATTGCTTTAATAATTCATGCTAGACATGGTGTTGGGCGTATGCAGTTATGCTATCATTCATAGCCTCTCATCAAAAGTTCTTGATATATATATATATATATATATATATATATATATGTCATTACATAACAGTGACTCAATATCTCTGTAATTGTAAAAGGCAGAATTTTCTAATTATATATCAGGTACTATTGTATAGTTTTATATAATCTCTTAGAAAGCTTGTATGACCACACTTAGATTTGTTTTAGAAATTTGTCAAATGATATATTTTTCTTATTCCTCAGGGCTTATCAACATACCAGCAGTAGCCCTTGGAGTATTCTCTGGGGGAATAGTAATGAAAAAATTCAAAATCAGTGTGTGTGGAGCTGCAAAACTCTACTTGGGATCAGCGGTCTTTGGTTACCTCCTGTTCCTTTCCCTGTTTGCACTGGGCTGTGAAAACTTGGATGTGGCAGGACTGACAGTCTCCTACCAAGGGTACGTTCCCTCATTAAATGGTTTCAAGGGATTGGCTTGATTTGTCCAATTACTAATATAGTTTTAAAATAAGATAATGGAATTTTTAACATCATAATTATGGGATGAAAGTTAATGTTTTATTATGAAATAGCTAGCAATACTTCTGAGTCAGAATCTGTTATTGTCATCTTGTTTGAATTTGAGTATCTTAGAGAAATACAAAAAAAATCCTAACTTACATTTTATGCTAGATAACATGAATTTTTTAAGAAAATACTTGATAGGTGAAATACAGACCTTGAATTTTACCTCTGTTTATTCTTAATAAAGTGGCAGTATGTGGCTTTGTATGCTATTTTTCCATTTATTAAACTGACATGACATACCTGCCTACCACAAAATAGATGCACCATTCATGGGAAAATTTATTATTTTCCCTGGATACCGGAATAGCGGAGTGGGGTCTCAAGGCCAGCCTCCATGGTTTCTGCTGCACTTCAGTCATAGGAAGTTTCAAGAGTAGGCTGTCCTTCAACCCACTGACCCCACATCTTCTGTCTTTAGCGGGGTGTCCTACAGTTGCTCGAGAGAATATGTATTGATGCCCTAAAACCTGTCTCATCCCATTTAGGCTGTGTGTTTAGATTTCTCAGTTTCCAGTTTCTGTCTTCATGCAAGGCTGGATCCTTTGAACTATTTCATCTTTTTACACTAATGGCATTTTTCGTTCTTTGCTATGCATTCATTCTTTGTTTTAAAAAACCTACTGAGCCTCTTCAATCTGCTGGACAGAACCCCCAGATTGCCTGAAACTCTGCCTGTGGCTGAAAGGCAGATGATCCTGACACTGTATTCCGTATCTGCCTGCTCAGTCACGGTCTCCTTGCTGTCCAGCTCCCTCTCCCCTGCCATGCCTGTTTATCTTGACTCCATGTTCTAACCACAGTTGCCTTCATTGATTTGGTTTCTCCTGTTGCTCAGTGGACACCAGTTAGAGTTTTTGCCTCCTAAAATGTTCAGGAAAATTAGTGACGGCAAAGTTCATAAAGTTCTGGAAGTCACACCATTAGGCTCACAAGTGTAACATTGCCTTGGTAACAGCAGTGTAGACTAAGAATACTAGTTTTAAATAGGAAATTGAAGAAGATTTTGGGTGGATAAAAGAAGCCCTGTGCCATATTTAACAGTGCCCACAATCCTCGTAATAGATGGACAGTAGTGGACTACTTTATATTTTGCAATTTACAAAATACCTTAACTATCACTATCTCACTTTAACCTTAAAACCTCTTTATGAATTATGTTTTGCTATCTTTAGAGGAACTGAGTTTATAAAAGTCAGTTTCCCCAATGCTAAATATCTGCAAAAGGCTGATTTGAGGCTTGGACAGAGGCATAAGTGACTCACATGATATTCTTCTACAATATCATCGTGTTTCTAAACCAAAAGCTAACACAGAAAGAGCAACAGAAAATTTTAGAAGTTCACATTAAAGTGTACCTACCTACATAATCAAAGATGAAAGATTCTTAAACATATAAAGTATTCACTGGTGAGTGCTAGCTTCCTCAGAGCAGTCACCCAGAAGGTACTGAACAGCAGTACTGCTATCATTGTTTAAAACTTCCTGTGACCCCTCAGAATTTGCTTTCATATTGTTCAGAATATCCTTGACAATGGCCAAGCTTCAAATTCTAAGAAGAGCATTGCTTTTAGAAAGCAACAGAAGAAATGGCAAAATTTCTTACTTCCCGGTGAAATTACTTTGAAAGAAAAATCTAGTTTGGATGTAAATATTCAGATAAATTTTTTAAAATGCTTAAAATTAAAAAATTTAATCCACAATTCTACTCTCAACACATCCTTCATAAAACATGTATGCAATCAATTTCTGCCCTAGATGGCAAACTAAACTTATTTCTTTAATAAAAAATTATAGTGGTTATAAAGTACAAAATGTTTCCCGTGGATTACCCATGCTGCTTTGTTCTAAAAGGCTGTTTTGATCCTGGACATTCAACAGGACGATGTAGATGAATTTTAGATATGGCAGTGGAAGGAGTCTTCTATAGTGAGGAGAATGGCCCGGTATAGGAATTTAAAATCTAGAGGCCTGGAAGCAGTCTATTTCCAAGCTTTTCTCAACTAAATGCCATGAATTTGAGCAAGTTACCTGCCCAGTTTGCTGATCTGCCAAATGAGAGTTTGGCCCAGGTCACTCCAAAGTTCCTACCGGTCCCTATTATTCTGTAAGCTCAGCCCCACTGTGTCCATACTGTAGCTTGATTCTTGGCTTTCAAAGGCACATTTTTATATTTTCTGGTACTATCACAAGGTCTTAGCTCACAATACTTTCAATATATTTATTTATTTATTTTAGAGTGAGGGGAGGAGGGGGATGGAAGAGAAGAGGAGGGGCGTAGAGCGGAGAGGAGGCAAAGAAAAGAGAGGAGACAGAACAGATCTTACCTTCCCTCTGCTGTTTCACTCCTCAGATGGCTACAATGGCCATTGCTAGGTCAAGCCAAAGCCAGGTGCCTGCAACTCCATCCTGTTCGCCCATGTGGCAGGCAGGGGCCAAGTATCTGGGCTGTCCTCTGCTGCATTCCCGGGTGCATTAGCAGGGAGCTGGATCAGAAACAGATCAGCCTGTACTCAAACCACTGCTCTGATATGGGATGCCAACTTCCAAAGCAGCAGCTTTATTGGCTATGCCACACCACTGGATCTGCAATGAATACTTTATGGAAGAGAATAGGGTTCAACTTGCCTATAGGATTTTTCAAGATGGTTAAATACCCTTTTGCTCTGTTTTGAGACATTTTAGAGGTCTTCTATTTCTACTTTCAAGGTGACAAAACCATAGCTGTTCTGCCAGATGGCACATTTTGTCAATTAAGAAATTATAGTGGACCGGCGTCGTGGCTCACTTGTTTAATCCTCCGCCGGTGGCGCCAGTATCCCATATGGGCACCAGGTTCTAGTCCTGGTTGCTCCTCTTCCAGTCCAGCTCTCTGCTGTGGCCTGGGAAGGCAATGGAGGATGGCCCTAGTGCTTGGGCGCCTGCACCCGCGTGGGAGACCAGGAGGGGGCGCCTGGCTCCTGGCTTTGGATCAGTGCAGTACGCCGGCCTTAGCGGCCATTTGGGGGTGGTGAACCAACGGAAGGAAGACCTTTCTCTCTGTCTCTCTCACTGTCTAACTCTATCTGTCAAATTAAAAAAAAAATTATAGTTAGAATCATTATAGAAAATACCTCTCACAGGCAGGGGCCAAAATGACTGATTGTTTCTGCAAAAATTAAGTAGCATTTTTCTTGAATTTATTGATTTGTTTGATATCCTACTGTTGTGCCAGGAATTATTCTTGGTACTAGAGATTCAGGAGTGAATAAAAGAGTTCCTGCCCTCTACTGGGTATGCATGCCAGTGTGTTTTTGTTTGTGTTACATCCTTCAAATGTCTTTGGGAAGACAGTAAGAGTGGATAACAACCAAATAAATTAATTCAAAATGGGAACAGAAAGAGTGAATTATGAAGGGCACTCAGTGGATGTAATATCTGAAGCATATAAAAGTGGCATACCCTTGTGTACTCTTTCAAAAGATTAGAGGGGCATGAATAATGGCGAAGGATCACAGTAGAAGAGTAGGGGCTGCTGTTGTAGTGCAGTGTGTTAAGCTGCTTTCTCTGACGCCAGCATCCCATATGAGCCCCAGTTCTGTTCCTGGCTGCTCCACTTCAGATTCAGCTCTCTGCTAATGTATCTGGGAAGGCATCCAAAGATGACCCACGTAATTGGGCCCCTGCCACCGTATGGGAGACACAGATGGAGTTTCAGAATCCTGACTTTGACCTGGCTCAGTCCTGGTCATTGTAGCCATTTGGGGAGGGAACCAGAGGATGGAATGTGCTTGCACACACATGCTCGATCGCTCGCTCTCTCTCTCTCTCTAACTCTTTCAAATAAATAAGTAGTCTTAGAAAAGAAGGATTAGGCAATTCATGTGAGAGAAAGAAGTAGAGGGAATTCTAGCAAAAAATGATGATAATACAGAATGAAAGAAAACAAAAAAAGGAGCAAAAGCAATCAAAATTATATAAAATAACTGTCTAAACAAAATCAACTGCTTGAGTGCCCCATATTTTTAAATACCTTTCATACTCCCAAAGCTAGTGTTTAGTAGGTGTCCAATAAACTTCTGTGAGTAAATGAGTTAATAGGTCATTGACATAGCATGTGGAATCAAGAAAGGATGGTGTAAGATATGGAAGAGCTGTCTACAGTGGGAGGATATGTGGGAGAAGTGATGGATGCTCTGGGTTGTTTTTATAGGTAAGACATATACAAGTAGGATATGTTCATGTTTGTAGGGGCTACTTCCTGGCTATTTTTTTCTGCCACATTGTTTGCAATATACACTCTACTTATGCTGAGACCACAATTCTGAAAGAAATTCATACACACATACACACACACACACACACACACACACACTCATCATCTGCAAGCCGTTTGGACTAATGTCAGCAATTGCTATGAAAATTCACTTGATTTCTCTACCTTGTTGTGTATGTTCACACAGCGTTGCTTAGGATTATTTTAGAAAATCATATTAACAGTAGACTGTTTTTAGTAAAATCCCTGAGCTAAGAACTGGACATGGTGTAAATTTGTAAACTTTTTAAGATAACTTTCAAGAGAACGTTGGTTAATAGTGTATCACTGTAATGGTCTGAAGCTGTCATTTCTGAAGATAGTTGTGTTCCTAAAAGGCGTGCTTTTTACGGTATAATATCACACAAGAACATTGACTTTTGAAAATATTGGGGTGCCACCTACTAAGAGGTAATATTGTATACTGTCATATTTCTTTTCAGAACCAAACCTGTCTCTTATCATGAACGAGCTCTCTTTTCAGATTGCAACACAAGATGCAAATGTTCAGAGACAAAATGGGAACCCATGTGTGGTGAGAATGGAATCACATATGCATCACCTTGTCTTGCTGGCTGCCAAACCTCCAACAGGACTGGAAATAATATCGTAAGAAAGCTCCTCTGAACTGTGTGACCAAGGGATAGTGACAATGTAAAAACTATGCAACTCCATGGGGACTCAGCTCTGTCACCCACTTGTAGGAGCCCTGGCTCTTACCTTTCCCTTCTCATTTTGTGACAAGGAAACAGGAAAGCTATAACCATTTATTAATGCAACTAGAGTTGTTGAAAAGAATTAGGTAAGAATTAGAGTCATGAAGCAGGGTGCAGCTGCTTTTGTAACTTTGTTTCTATTTCTCTCATTTTGCTTATAAGGAGTATTAGCCTGGATAAGAAAGTCCCAGGCAGAAGATCATAACCTAAGATCTGCCTTGGGGGCAGGGGGCTAGCACTGTGGCATAGCAGGTAAAGCCGCTGCCTGCTGTGCCGGCATCCCATATGGGTACCAGTTCATGTTCTGACTGCTCCACTTCCAATCCAGCTCTGTGCTATAGCCTGGGAAAGCAGTAGAAGCTGTCCCAAGCCCTTGGACCCCTGTACCAACATGGGAGACATGGAGGAAGCTTCTGGCTTGCAGCCATTTGGGGAGTGAACTATCAGATGGAAGACTTCGCAAGCGCTTGCGTTCTCTCTCTCTCTCTCTCTCTCTCTCTCTGCGCCTCTACCTCCCTGTAACTCTGACTTTCAAATAAATAAATAAATATTAAAAATCTGCCTTGGGATCCATGTCCTGAGGAGGTTTTAGGGACAGGACAATTAGAGGATGGTATTAGAAATTCTAAACACAGAGGTCTGTACACCTCTGATTATGAGGAGGTTGCTGGTTCGGAGACAGCTCTGCTGGGGTAATCAAGCCAATTGGTTGGATAATATGAGTAGGTGGGCTGGAATCAAGGGGTGGGAAATGTGGTTGGAAATACAGGAAGGAAGTTGTATTAGTTGGTCCTGGCTGATATAAATAGTATGCCATGTACTGGGTGGTTTGCAGATGACTCTCTTGTGTATTTACATGGCAGACAGCAGAGATGGGGAGAGAGCTCTCATGATTTTATATATACTTATATATATATAAATGGAACTAACCCCATTCATGAGGGCTACATCGTCATGGCCTGATTAGTTCCCAGAGGCACTACCTCCAAATACCTTTCATTTGGTATTTGGGTTTTAACATACACTTTTGGTACAAGCATTTGGTGTACAACTGAAGGCAATTCAGAATGACATGATATACTCCAAATCACTAACAGATTCATCTTCCTAATGACACCCTTGCATTCCTATCCCAGACATAGACTCAGGCTTGCTGTGTCATACTGCTTTTTGTTTACAGCTGGTAAAATTTGTTTTTGTCCGAGGTACTGTAAGGATGAAAATTAGGACACACACATGTTTACATAAGCTTAATAATTAAATATGAGGGCTTAGGCAAACATATCAGCAGTTAGAGAGTAACGTTGGTTGGTTTCATCTGTTTATAATTATTTTGATGTCTTAGAGCAGAAAGGATTGGTCTTCATCATTAGCAAGAAAGATTACCTGTTCATCTGGAAGCTTCATTTTTCCCATCCCCCTTTTTCTTCCTCTCCTCTCCTCTCCTCTCCTCTCCTCTCCTCTCCTCTCCTCTCCTCTCCCCTCCTCCTCTCCTTTCTCTCCTCTTTTTTTTTAATATTATCTCTTCTTTTATATCGTTTTCTTATGCATTGCTCAAGCTAAGTAAAGAAAAACATAGATTTTAAAGGCAGAGTCAGAGTAACGTAGACAGAAAGGGAGGGAGGGAGGGGGGAGAGGGGGATCTTCTATTTGCTGGTTCACTCCTCAAATTCGAGCAACAGCCAGGGCTGTGCCAGGCCAAATCCTGGAGACAGTAACTCCATCTGGAACTCCCATGTGAGTGGCCAGAACTCAGGTACTTGAGCCATGACCTGCTGTCTTCCGGGGTATGCATTAGCAGAAAGTAGGACTGGAAATAATCAAGACTCAATCCTAGACACTATGACACAGGATGTGGGTATAACTAGTAGTGGCTTAAACCACTGCCCAACAATGCCACTACAGTTTCTCTTAACTAGAGCAACCATTTGTTAGAGACATTATGTAAACAGGGACTAATGTGCTTTAAAAGCAAAATTACATTTAAAACCCATGATTCTCAAGTAATGGTATCTTTTCTATTTTACAAATGCAAGAACTAAGACACTGAGATACACAGGACTTGCCTATAACACACACACACACGCACACGCTGTGCACACACTATCAAAGATCAAGATTCAAAATTTCTGATATGCTTTTAAAAGTCTATATTGCTGGCCAGCACCGTGGCTTACTTGGCTAACCTTCTGCCTGCGGCACCGGCACCCGGGGTTCTAGTCCTGGTTGGGGTGCTGGTTCTGTCCTGGTTGCTCCTCTTCCAGTCCAGCTCTCTGCTGTGGCTCGGGAAGGCAGTGGAGGATGGCCCAAGTGCTTGGGTCCCTGCACCCACATGGGAGACCAGGAGGAAGCACCTGGCTCCTAGCTTCAGATCGGCGCAACTCTGGCCATGGCAGCCATTAGGGGAGTGAACCAACAGAAGGAAGACCTTTCTCTCTGTCTCTTTCTCACTGTCTATAACTCTCTCTGTCTCTCTCTCTTACTGTCTAACTCTGCCTGGCAAAAAATTAAAAAAAAATAGTCTATATTGCTATTCTCCCTAGAAAATGAAAGGCCAGATTTGTTTATTCTCTAAAAATTAACAAACTCTTCTGTGATGAAAATAACAACTCACTATATGATCTGTATACATTCACAAATGAAATTCACAGAAATAAACTAAGGAATTATAAAAGTTGTCTTTTGTCAAGATTTAGCTGAGTTTTATGCATCATGATTTTTTCCTAGATGCCCATGTATTTAACAAATTTTTGTTTATTGCCTAAAATGAGGGCCTGTATTTTGCACTCTGAGTATAAAATGATGACAAAGCAAAAAGTGTATGTCTTTGTGGAGATTACCTCCTAATATGGAAATACAATTTTTAAATGAGTGGACAGTTTTGTGACATTCTGATAGGTAAGAATAAGCATAGTGGAAACAATGACTTAGGACAAACAGGTGGACATATGGGGTGTTCTTTTAACTGAGTGGTCATAGGAAGTCTAGTGAAATCTCAGTATAAAATCTGAAGGGAAGATGCCAGCCATGCAGCTGTCAAAGAGAAGAGAAAGCAGCAGGGTCATGTTCCACAGACACACTTGCCATGTTTGATGGGACTGTTGAGGATGAGATAATGATGCAATCTGATCATCGTTTTGGGACACTTTGGTTGCTGTGTGAAAAACAAGCTATTGCTGAATAAGAGTAGAAACAAGACGAGCTTGAAAAGATCATTGCGATAAGCAAGGGTAGAAATAATGATGATGTAGGCTTGGAAGCTGAGGTGAAGGAGAGAAGGTGGTATGGCTGGGTTTGCTAGGACCTGGTGGGATATTATTCTGTAGGATTAGTAGTTTGTCTGTCTGGAGCTGTCTGGATAAGGAAATACTGTATCTCTATAGATTTCACTATGTCCAATGTACTCTGATACAGGACAATCAAATAATATTTCCCCATTCTTTTTCTCATGCATGAACATTATACCATACAGTTTTAAATATTTATCTTTAATCTTATTTAAATGTCACCTTAATATTAGTGTTTTCTCTGTTGTACTACAGATATTTTATAACTGCACCTGTGTGGAAATTGCAACCTCTAAATCAGGAGATTCCTCCGGCGTGGTGGGGAGATGTCAGAAAGACAATGGATGTCCCAGAATGTTTCTGTATTTTCTTGTGATTTCAGTGATTACATCTTACACTTTATCACTAGGTGGCATACCTGGATACATATTACTTCTGAGGTAAGTACTCATTTTTCTGACCTCAATTTTAATATAAGACAGAATATATTCATCTAGAACACTGATTCAAAACCCTTTTCTGTGCAGTCATTAGATTCTTCATGGCCTTTTCAGATAACTTGTTTTATATATATATATCCCATTTTCATTTTTATGCAGAAGTATAGCTAGACATTTTCCTAGTGAAAAATGTTTGTAAAACATTGCTCTAGAGAACAATATACTGCCTACATCACTGTAGTCATTTAATAAATAAAATATGCTACTTTGATGCTGGTGATCATACTGACTAGTTTGGATAAAATGAGTTTGAGATGAAATATGATTTCACCAGATCATCTTATACCACTATGTTGTGCATTTAGTATTTTTATGTATAGATTATTTCTTCTACAGCTATTAACTATAAACTCACTGAAGCAGTGCATATAATGGGATTTTTTTTTTCACATTATGCCTTCCTTTGATAGCCCACCAGTGGTTTTTCTGCAAATGCCTCCTGAGTTCTAACATAATTTCATGTGCATTAATAGATTATCACTAAGATTTCCAGTTACCGTAATGGATTTTTTGTAATAGTACTTCTGCTGTTTTTTTAGGTGCATTAAGCCACAACTTAAGTCTTTTGCCCTGGGTATCTACACCTTAGCTGTAAGAGTTCTTGGTAAGTATGATCTATTCTGTGATTTTGGTAGCTATCAGAAGTGTATTTGGGAGATTTTCTGAATGTCTTTACAGAATTACCATATACAACTAAATGATGAAAGTAAAGTCCCTAATTTCTTTATTTTCTTCCTTTCCTTATTTTGTCTCTTTTCCTTACCTCTTCCATTCCTTTGGTCCAGATATATTTATTGAATGCCTGTGCCTGTCGTGAGACCAGTCTCAATTTTTGCTTAACAATCTTCCAGTACCAGCCTATTTTCAGAACATTCGTTGCTCTAATGGGAAAGCCCTCAAAGAAGAAACCATAATTCATCAGTAAGAAAGGCTGAAGCTTTAGTGTATATTTTTTTTCAATTATTAAAATGGAAAGAATCCTTTGAGTTAATCTCAATGCCCAAACATAGGATATATCATTAAGTAGAAAAATAACATTATTCAAATAATAAAACTAAATGCATTTAAGGATGTAATTCTTTCAATCATAATTGAAATGTTTATTCTGACTACCAAGTTTTTCAATATGCATTGATTAAAACCTGTAGTAAGGGGTTGGCACTATGGCATAGTAGGTTAAGCCTTTTCCGGTGCTGCCAGCACCCCATGTGGGCACCATTTTGAATCCTGGCTGCTCCTCTTCTGATCCAGCTCTTTGCTAATGGCCTGGAAAAGCAGTAGAAGATGGCCCAAGTGCTTTAGCTCCTGTACCCTCATGAGAGACCTGAAAGAAGATCCTGGCCATCACAGCCATTTGGGGAGTGAACCAGTGAATGGAAAACCATTCTCTCTGTCTCCCATTCTCTCTATAACTCTGCCTTTCAAGTGAATAAACAAATTTTTAAAAAATAAAAAAAAATCGGTAGAAAACAGTGAGACAGGTAAAGTTTCTGTCCTTAACTAGTTTGTTGTCTAAACAATAAAATTCAATAATTATACAAGTTCTCCTATAATTTGACAGAATTACCTAGGAAGAAAAACAAGTAAGAGCTTTAGAACTTTGAAATTAAGTTAAATTTACATAGTTTTTGATATACAATGGCTACATTTGAAGATACCATATAATCTTAATAAAACTAGACAGTAAACAAAGAAAAGTGTGTGCCAACATGGCTGTCTGTGATTCTGCAATATAAAAACAAAGGTTACCTATCAAAGCATCAGATTATTGAGTTAGAAGAATATTCATCACTAGAACTGGGTTCTAAATCTACTTATTTTGGAATATAGATACAACCTACAAATTAAAATTGATTCCAAGTAGAAGAAATTATTTATAAAGTTGATTTCATAAAAAGTAGCATTTGAAAATGGTTAGAATATCATAATCAAAGTCTAAAAACTGAGAAAAGTCTTATGATTTATATATGACAAGTGACTAATACCCTGTTATAAAAAAACTCAATTTTGAGAATAGATGATCAAGCAAACAATAAACAAATAGAAAAATAAATATAAATGTCTCTATATATGAAAAGATACTCTCATAAGAAGAGTCAAACTGCACAGATATTATTTTTCAGACGCTTAAATTACAAAACGTTGTTTGCAATGTTTGAGAAAATAGATATGCTTACACCTTGATATTGCGAAAATGATGCTCTTTCTGAAGAGTGCTGTTTGGCAATAACTATCAAAATTATACATGGAGTTTCCTTTAGGCCTAGCATCCCCAGCTCTAGAAAGATACCAAAAATTTGCTAGTAAAAATATGAAATAAATTTCATCCTTATGGACTAGTATATTCACTATAAAATGCTTTATGATATAAAAAATCTTAGTCTATTAGTTCAACAGTGTGAGATTGGTTGAATAAGCTGTAATAAGCTCTAATGCATACGGATGAATCAGGCAAAAAATCTCTAGCTCATGTTACCAAGTGATTTCTGGGATATAAGTTTAGGATAAAAGAAGCAAAATGTGGAATAATGTTTCTTTTGTGATGATTTTGATATAAATGTGGAAAGTTGGGAATGCTATTCACATGTGCAAAGGAATTTGCTTTTATCTTAAACAGAAACAATAGGAGCAGAAACTTAAAACAAATTTTCCCAAAATGGTGCCTACAAAAGAAGAGGGAAAAGAGGACAGAAATGAACTGAGATCTTCTCTTTTCCAAAACAAAAATTTATGTACTTATTTGAAAAGCAGGGAGAGACTTGGGTTAAAGGAAGACAGAGGGCATTCCCATCTGCTGGTTCACTCCCCAAGGGCCCATAATGCCCAGTGCTGGGTCTGGGCATCAGCCAGGAACCAGGAACTCAGTCCAGGCCTCCAGAGTGCATGGCAGGAACCAAATCACACGCGAGAGAGGAAGAGAGTAAGCTCTGGAAGTGAGATTTTCTAGCTGTAACTTGTCATGTAATTGGTGATTTAAAATGAGGTACAGTTGGTGACTTGCTTACTTATTTGAAAGGTAAAGACACAGAGAGACAGAGACAGAGAGATTTCCTGTCCACTTATTGTTTCCCAAATTCCCTCAACATCCAGACTGGGCCAGGCTGAAGTCAAGATGCTGTAACTCATTCTGAGTCTCCCACATGGGTGTCAGGGACCCATCCCACCGTGCCTTCCACCAACTGGTTCACTTCCTAAATGGCCACAACAGCCAGGCTAAAGCCAGGATATTTCCTTCCACATATGCGTAGATCAAGGACCAGAGACATACATTGCGTTCGGGTGATACACCTTCAAAAGGTTCATTACAAAATGGAATCAAAAGAAGAATTTATTTTGGTATAAAAATTTTTTTTGAAATCCATCCATAGGTTTTCCATAAAATGCATTTTCCACGAACTTTGTGAAAACCTTTGTTTCTCTTATATCTCTTAATGTATTGGCTTCACATTCCTCCCTCCATTTTTTCCTGCCCTGTATAGCTTTCAATCAAGTAGGAAAGTCAGTAAAACATGCCATTAGGGAAGAGTTTGTAATGGCTTTAAGCTAGTGTAGAAGCAGTGGCAGTAGGAGTGGGGAAAAGATTCTGTGCTTAACATATACTCGGTAGAATTAAAATGATTCTGGGATGGTTTAAATGTGATGATCAGATAGAGGAGAGTGAGGAATATATTGATGAAGAGACGGTTCTGGGTTGAGTCCATATCTTAGCTATTGTGAATTGAACTGCAACCCAGATGTCCATCAACAGATAACTGGATGAAGAAATTATCATACACACACACACACACACTTTGGAATACTACACAGTGGTAAAAAAAAGTCTTGTAGTTTGCAACAAATTGGATGCAACTGGAAACCATTATACTTAGTGAAATAAGCAAGTCCCAAAAAAGACAAATACCATATGTTCTCCCTGATCTAACTAATAGAATATCTAAACGGTAATCTATAGAAGGGAAATTGACATTGTGAGATGCAATGATTTTGAACAGCCCTTGTCTCTACTGTTGAGGAATAGTGTTTTTTTATAGCATTTTTTTAATTCTTTACTTATTGTATGGTTAATCTTATGAGTATAAAGTTAGCATAGGCCAGTGCTGTGGCTCACTAGGCTAATCCTCTGCCTGCGGTGCTGGCACACCGGGTTCTAGTCCCAGTCAGGGCGCCAGATTCTGTCCCGGTTGCCCCTCTTCTAGGCCAGCTCTCTGCTGTGGCCCTGGAGTGCAGTGGAGGATGGCTCAAGTGCTTGGGCCCTGCACCCCATGGGAGACCAGGATAAGTACGTGGCTCCTGCCATCGGGTCAGCGCGGTGCACCAGCCGCAGCGTTCCGGCCGCTGCAGCCATTGGAGAGTGAACCAACGGCAAAGGAAGACCTTTCTCTCTGTCTCTCTCTCTCACTGTCCACTCTGCCTGTCAAAAAAAAAAATATAATGAAGTTAGATCTTTGTAGAGAATAAGAATGGGAATAGGAGAGGGAGGAAGGAGGAGGGTGGGAGAGTGGGAGGGAGCATAGGAAAGGAAGAATCACTGTGTTACTAAATGTGCATCTGTGAAATGCATGACGTTTATATACCTTAAATAAAACGTTTCTAGGTTAGAGAGTCAGTCAGTCAGTCAGTCCTGGGGAGAAAGAAGTTGAACTGAAGCTGAGCTTGAAGTATCTGGGAAAGTCGCTTCTTGAGGTCAGCGATTGGCAGTTACTGAATAGGTTTGGGGATTATAAGAAACGACGGGGCTAGAAGAAAGGTTTTGGAGATTTCAGCGTGTTGGAGATGACCTTTCAGCTCCTGAACAGTAATTGTTGACCTAAAGGTAATAGGGCACATAGCCATTCCTAACCAAAAAAATGTGCAGATGCTTTGGTAGCAATTTGTTTTTCTCACAGCAGGAATCCCAGCTCCAGTATACTTTGGAGTTTTGATTGACACTTCCTGCCTCAAATGGGGATTTAAAAGATGTGGAAGTAGAGGATCCTGCAGATTATATGATTCAAATTCTTTCAGGTACCATCTTAAATGCTTCCCCACAGTTCACTGCCACATTATCCTGGTTTATGCAGTAAATGCCATGGACAGTGCTAATTCATCTTGAAGTTTCACTGTTTGCAAAGTAAAAAATAGTCAAATCAAAAAGTATGATGTACTTTGAAGAAAAATTGTTATTTTATTGTCTAGATTTTAGACTCTACTCCCATTTCTAACCGTGATTAATCATTTAAAAAGAAAGATGACAGACTCCTGAATAAAGTAGAATGTTGAAAGTTTGTGCACTCATGGTAATTCACTGTAACTCAGAAGCATTTAAATTTGGGTCACATTTTGGGTTTAATTCTGTTCTTTTTCAAACTGAGCCAGACTGTACCATTTACGTCAGATATAATCCCCCTGGGCAAGAGTTGGATTTGGCTCTAAATCTGTCCAGCTTTTATTGCCAAACTGATGTTCAATTATTCCAGTACTTGAAATGCATAAAAGTAAAATGTTTCCTCTGTGTGGCTGAGTGTGTATAGAGTAGGGAGCATGGCTTTTCCACAGCATATCATTGAGTTCAGTTCATCAAATGCTAAGTCCTGCAAGCAGTACTTCAATGGCTTAAAAGCAGGAAGGACTTTTTTAAAAAAAACTTAAAAGCTGAGCATTTTCTAGGGAAATAAACTTGGTGCTAAACCACCTTAGTTGGATGTGAATTGGGTAGACCATCTGAAACAAGCTGGTTGTTTGATTTAATAGGCTTTGATGTTATGTGTGAAATTTATTTTGCTCTTTGAAAGGGATCTGATCTGTGAGTATAATTTGGGCTTTACTCACATTTGCTATGGCTGTGTTCCCTTTAATGTAGTGACAATGAGACTCAATCAGAAACCCAGAGTGTGTTTATAAGATGACCAGAATGAGACATTCAACCTGCTCTTTCATACCGTACTTCTGATGAAGTGTAGAACTAAAAGCTTCCTATGAAAGGAATTGATTTAATCCTCTGTTTTATTGTAAATCATTCCACTTTACTGAAAGTCCCGATTTTCCTTAGCATTGCTTCATGCAATTTTTCCATAGACATGAATTCAAGAAATGTCTGAGAATACGATAACCACACAATTTATTGTTCAAATCTAGACACTTTTGAGATTGAAAGGAGATAGTAGTAAAATGACAGACAACAGTAGCATAAACTGAGACTGTTCTGGGCAAAGAGGGATAGAGTTACTTGTTCAAAGGAAATAATTTACAAAGAGGGCAGAAGTTCTTCTGTAATTACTAGGATCTGAAAATTATTGTAGTACTAAGAAATTGCTTTGTATTAACTGTCTTCAATAGCTATCAGTCTTTATAGAGAGCCCCTCAAGAGTTACCATTCTAGTCTACATTTGCATTCTCAGGGAAATTCTCAGAATGGAATTGTTACCTGCCTTCAACACTTTATTTTAAGTTGGGTAGTTTACATAATTATGACTGGTATTCTCTCTTCTTCTAGACACATATACCTGGGAGTAACCCTAATACTGGGTACAGTGTCCATTTTCCTAAGCTTTGCAGTGCTTTTCATTTTAAAGAAAAAAGATGTTTCAAAGCACAGAAGTTTCATAGCCAAGAGAGAAAGAACAATGGTGTCTACAAGATTCAGGAAGGAAAATTCTATTCCAAGTGACCATCTGCTTCAGCCCAACTGCTGGCCAGGCAAGGAAACGCAACTCTAGGAAAATGATTGCCGGAAGCCATATTTCCTAACTTGTTGAAGTTTTGCAATGTATTTTGATGAAAATGGTTTTAAAATGTGTAATATCTTTTTTCTTTCAAAAATGTCTATATGATTCTGACTTGAGATCTTAGATAATACACTTGAAAGTAATATAACTAAGTAGAACAAGATGTGGATGATAGAACTAATTTTAAGCCTTTTAAATTTATATACAAATTTCTTATATTATTTACTTACCCTGCTTTACTTTGCCTTGTGCCAGTTGATGTATTTGCTGTATTCCTCTTAGAACAACTGCCTCTATTGGATGCTGTTATGTATAAAGCAATTTACAACTGAGTTATTTGTCTATAGTAAGAGAAAATGTTTGAAAGATTAATTAACATCTCAAGTTCCATTGAGTTCAACCTTAATGACGATGTTAGACTTGAGTTAGAATCCGTAGATGGAGATTTCATTTTAAGCTCCTCATTTCTTTTGAAATACAATAATTAATATAGATAAATGTAGTGGCAGGTGCTATTGGGAGTTGAATTGTTTTTCTATTCATTTATATGTGCTATTTGTATGACACCTTTAGGGATAGGGAACCTTTTTTCTTCTAGTGATCATTTGGATATTTATAAGCTCATTTGAAGACCACATAAAGTTATCAGCTTAAAAAATTAGCCTACTATATATTTATTGAACTTTGAGTCCTGCCTGTGGTTGTCTTGGCAAGGCCAGACCAAATGATTTTGTGGCCTTATACGGCTTGTGGATTGGACATTCCCTACCTTTGCATGTGAACATGGTTGTAAGTTAATAAAATGAATGGTAACCTGTTTTATTGTCCTGCTATGAATTCAGTGGATTAAAAAATATTAACTAAATACCACCCATATTATACTGTATGTAAGTAGCTCACTGCTTAGTTGCATATGTTCATAAAATGTGTTTGAAAGTTAAATTTCTGGAGTGTCACGTGTGGCCCATCCCCGGGTGGAAGGGAGTTCCTTACAGGTGGAGGGATGCTGGGGCGGGAACCAGGAAAGGGGAGGGAATGGTCCTGGCAAAAAGTCTTTTCCTTTTCCGTAATTACAGAGAACCAGGATTTTTTTTATTATAATTATAATTATAATTATTATTATTATTATTGAGAAGAAGAAACCTAGCACTGGCAGAGGGAACCTTCTCTGCTTTTACCTTTCAGGTTTGACTGCTGGCACTGGCTGTGATACTTAGAATTTTGAGGTTCAGGGAATTCAGAGAATTTGGTAGCACAGTGTATTGGGAGAAAGGGAAATTTTGGGTTGACATGTTCCTGAAAGCGGGTGGGTGGGTTTGACTGCGAACATTTTGGGCTCTTGCAGTGATGGTGGGAAGGAGAGATTCTTTCCATGGCTGCACTTCAAGTAATAATTGTCTCCCCTGAAAAGAAAGATTATAATAAAGAATAATTTGGAATGATGCCGCAAGGTTAAATTAGAAAAATGGTGAATTTCCGAGTGACCATTTCTACAGAGGTGTAGCTCTTTCAATGTCTTTTTGTCCTGTGATGATCTGCTCCCACCTCCTGCACTGCAATATCAGTTTAATGAACACTTTGTGAATCGTTAAGTACATACGCACGCATATCAAACTGTGCTCTGAGGATAAAGCAAGTTCTAATTGTGGAAAAAGGATTCAATATTTCTGTTTTCTGAAGAGTTATTTTGTATTTTGTTTTCTATTAAAATGTATTTAGTTTCAAAGAAAAAAAAAGAAAGTTAAATTTCTGATAGTCTACAATAAATCTAGGTGTTATAACAGGAAAGAAGAGTGATGGGTGGGGTAATGGTAAGACTGAGTATGGTGCGCTTTGGTACTCCTCCTGCCACTCCTCACAGGGTCCAGGGACTTCTGGACGCGGAGCTGCCCCTGCCACACAGTGCCAGATGGTTGTTTCTCTGCAGCTGAGGAAGTCAAGGCCAGCATTTCCGCTTCCTCAGCTTCCTGGTGCTCCTGCGACAAGGATGAGTGGGTTCAGCACCTGCCATCTTTAATCTGCAGCTCTCTTATGTGATACCTTTCTTTTCCTCCACCATAGCAGACCTCAGACAGAATCCACCCTAAGGAGGCATCACCTTCAGCTACTGCCACCTCACAATCCAATCTGTCAGCAGTCCGTAAGTCCTGTAAAATCCAGAGGTAACTGAGTGGAAGGAAAACTGGATTAGGAAAGGAGAACTGAAGGATTCCAGTGGGAATGAGGCTGTAGAGTCTCTCCAGTGCACAGAAAGAACCCTCACTTATCAAGGAGATGCTCAGGGTCAGAATGAGAACCCATAACTCTATTGCATACTAGTCTGCTCGAAAAACTATCTTCATCTTTTTAGCATTCTTAGTATCAGAATATCCATTTAACAGATGATGAAACTGAGGCTAAAAGAGGTTAAAAATGGCTTACCCTTGAAGGCGCCCAACTGGGATTGAACTCAGATATAAATCTAAAACTATCTTTGCCACTAATCAGCCTGACCCAATAATGTAATACTAAATAAACTGGTTCTTTTATCTGTAATTTCTCTACAATCCAGTATTCTGTTAAATCAGTTTGTTCTGACTGTTGTCTTCATCTGTAAATTTCAACAGCCTGCAGATAATCAATTGTTCGAAACAATTCTAAAGGATCTCCCTTGATCATCTGGATTAAGTTAAATAACATATTTGGATTTAACTCTTAAAACTACAGTGTATCAAACTATAAATCATCCACCTTATAATAAAAGAATACACTAAATAGGGATGGGTTTTCTGTCACTGGGACACCCACATCCCGTATCAGAGTGTCTGGTCTGAGGCCCAGCTTCTGCAGTTCCGATCCGGCTTCCTGCTGTTGCACATCCTGGGAAGCAGCAGACAATGACTCAAATGCTAGGATCACTGCCACCCATACTGGGTTCCCAGATGGGAGTTCCAGGATCGGCATTGGCCTGGCCCAGCTGCGCTGTTGTATCTATTTTTGTCTGAACCAGCAAATGGAAGATTTCCTCTTGTTCTCTTTCTCTCATGCTAAGTAAGTTCTTTGTAACAGTGGATGGTACTAATCCCAGCACTTGAACCATCATTTCCTGCCTCTCAGGATGTGAATCAGAAGGAAGCTGGATCAGAAGTGGAGCAGCAGGAATTCAAAGCAGGTACTCCAGTATGAGATGTGGGACCCCAAGTAGTGGCTCACTGCTCTGCAAAACATTGCCCACCCCATTTCACACACTTTTTTATTAGAATGTTTTGACTTATGGATTGAAATACTCTACTTTTAGCAGTTAATCTCAGGCAGCACTTTAGATCATGGAGACTTGGAATTAAAGCACAATTCTTAGTAGCCTTTCAAACAAACAGAACACATAATAGAACATTCCCGCAAAGGAGAATATTTGGGATGTTTCCTGAGACATACATCCTAAAAGGAGACCAGCTCAAAAATGTAGTAGCTTTACTTATACAGTGTTGATATCAAATAATACAAATTGTTTTCAGTCTTTTAATTTGTTTTTGTTTTGTTTTGTTTTTTGTTTTTTGACAGGCAGAGTTAGACAGTGAGAGAGAGAGAGAGAGAGAGAAAGATCTTCATTCCGTTGGTTCACCCCCAAAATGGCCACTACAGCCAGTGCGCTGCGCCGATCCGAAGCCAGGAGCCAGGTGCTTCTCCTGGTCTCCCATACTGGTGCAGGGACCAAGCACTTGGACCATCCTCCACTGCACTCCCAGGCCAGCAGAGAGCTGGACGGGAACAGGGGCAATCGGGACAGAACCGTCGTCCCAACTGGGACTGGAACCCGGAGGTACTGGCGCCACAGGCAGAGGATTAGCCTAGTGAGCTGTGGCGCTGGCCTCAGTCTTCTAATTTCATTTTATATATCTGTCCTGAAAATATGAGTGGAGAAAATGAAGTTTGAAAATAGAGATAGAAGCCGGCACCGCGGCTCACTAGGCTAATCCTCCGCCTTGCGGTGCCGGCACACTGGGTTCTAGTCCCGGTCGGGGCGCCAGATTCTGTCCCGGTTGCCCCCCTTCCAGGCCAGCTCTCTGCTGTGGCCAGGGAGTGCAGTGGAGGATGGCCCAAGTACTTGGGCCCTGCACCCCATGGGAGACCAGGATAAGTACCTGGCTCCTGCCATCGGATCAGCGCGGTGCGCCGGCCGCAGTGCACTGGCCGTGGCGGCCATCGGAGGGTGAACCAACGGCAAAGGAAGACCTTTCTCTCTGTCTCTCTCTCTCACTGTCCACTCTGCCTGTCAAAAAAAAAAAAAAAATAGAGATAGAGAAATGTGATTTAAATGTATATCTCTCATTTTATTTGAATTGGTGATACTCAATTATTTCATAATAACTAGGTTTCAAAAAAAATTTTTTGAGCCCGCGCCTTGGCTCACTTGGCTAATCCTCTGCCTGTGGCGCCGGCATCCTGGGTTCTAGTCCTGGTCGGGGCGCCGGGTCCTGTCCTGGTTGCTTCTCTTCCAGACCAGCTCTCTGCTGAGGCCCGGGAGGGAAGTGGAGGATGGCCCAAGTGCTTGGGCCCTGCACCCACATGGGAGACCAGGAGGAAGCACCTGGCTCCTAGCTTTGGATTGGCGCAGCGCCGGCCGTAGCAGCCATTTGGGGGGTGAACCAACGGAAGGAAGACCTTTCTCTCTCTCTCTCTCTCTCTCTCTCTCTCTCTCTGACTGCCTGTCAAAAAACAAAAACTTTTTGAATTTATTCAAAAGGCAGAGAGACAGAGGAAAAGACAGAAAGTGACAGAGAGATATACACTGGGCCAATATGAAGCCAGGAAGCTGAAACTCAAACCAGGTCTCCCATGAGAGGGGCAAGGGTCCAGTCACTTCAGCCAATATCCAGTGCCTCCCAGGAGGAGCCAGGATTTGAACCAGACTCTTACATGGGATGCCTGTGTCCCAACTGGCATCTTAACTGCTGCAACACAGCACCCCTGGAGCTGATGCTGTGGCACAGTAGGTTAAGCTGCTGGCATTGCGTGTTAGAGTGCCAGTTTGAGTCTCAGCTGCTCTGCTTCTGATCAGAGTCCCTGCTAATGTGCCTGGGGAAGCAGAAGAAGATAGCCAAGTGTTTTCAGGTGTTTTGGCCCCTGCTGCCCACATAAGAGACCTAGCTGGGTATTACCATATGGGGATTGTACCAGCACATGAAGATTCATTTTCTCTCTCCCTCCCTCCCTTTCTCCCTCCCTCCCTCCCTCGCTTCTTCCCTCCTTCCCTCCTTCCCATCCTCCTTCCCTGCCTCCCTATATCTCTTTCACTGTGTCTTTCAAATAAATAAATAAATCTTTTTTTTTTTAATTTTTTTTTTTTTGACAGGCAGAGTGGACAGTGAGAGAGAGAGACAGAAGAAAGGTCTTCCTTTGCCATTGGTTCACCCTCCAATGGCCGCCGCGGCCTGCGCGCTGCGGCCGGCGCACCGCGCTGATCCGATGGCAGGAGCCAGGAGCCAGGTGCTTTTCCTGGCCTCCCATGGGGTGCAGGGCCCAAGCACCTGGGCCATCCTCCACTGCACTCCCTGGCCACAGCAGAGAGCTGGCCTGGAAGAGGGGCAACCGGGACAGAATCCGGCACCCCAACCGGGACTAGAACCCGGTGTGCCGGCGCCGCAGGCGGAGGATTAGCCTAGTGAGCCGCGGCGCCGGCCAAATAAATCTTTTTAAAATCCATCCCCATATTTCACTATTTTTGAAAATGAAGAGACTTTTTCCCCAGCATGCCTACATCAGAACTGCTGCTGCCCTGCCAGCTGTGAGTAGAAATCCTCTGTGCTATCTCCATATTGATCTTGAAGTAGGCAGGCAT